ATAGACGTCATTATTTATCTACAATTACATTGTAGTATTATAGCCAAGTGTCAGACTTACATGGCGAAGTTTAGCATGCTGCTACTCTTACACTTAAGGCGGCTCCGACGCAGTGAGTTTCAAGCCATTTACAAGGGTTCAGCTGCTTCAAAACTGACACTCCATTTTTCAACATTTTTGATGAAATTCATACAGTATGTTGAGAAGATAATTGCCCAGGGTGCTATCGGAGCACGTTTTGAAATTTTGTTTTTGCACAAGTTTTATGATGGGTTGAAGTGCGCACTTTTTCTGTTCAACTTCGCGATTTTTTTAAAAAGAACCTAGAGAAAAAAATGAAAAAGTGGCATATAGCACTTTGTGGGGTTTTGTTTTCAGCACTCTGTGAAAATTTCATCCAAAAATATCAAAAAATAAAGCGTCAATTTCGAAGCGCGCAAACCTCTACAAAAAGTATTCTGGACGATTTTGTCTACTGTTTCGTGCTGCCAACCAAAGCGTGGCGGCGCAATGTACGAACTAAAAAAGGACGTATTCAGATAATTTGGTGGCCCTATTTCATATAATATCGCATAGATAAGTCGTTCTCCAAATAGGTACTCATAATCGCGATCGCTGATACTCCTCGATTTTAAAGCCATTTTACTTCCCACGACAGTGGCGAGGAAGTATTGTAATCGCAAAAAATTTCTAGAACGAGATGTTATGTTTTTTTAAGTCATATGAGATCTACATCACGCAAAACTATATCACTCTTCATCAACTTGGAAATTACCGCTCGGATTTTTATGAAATTTCCACACGGGGTTCCTAGTATGCCATGGCAAGGGTGCTATAGGCAAAAAAGAAAAAGTAACAGTTGCTGAAACTCCGTTTTTGATGTTACAGGGGTTCCTTATCATTGACATAAAAAAATGTACTGCTTAAAAACTGGGGGTTGGGGAAGGTGATTCTAAATGTTGCATCTTTGATATCAGTGAAACACGTTCTATTACTAAGAAGCTTCTGGTCCCAGTGATTACAGGAAATTTAAGTAACGAAAATCCGACGAATCATGTGCTCACGATTTGAAAAAATTGGTACCTATAGGTTTGACACCAAGAGCCAACAGATCTATCTGCAACTACCGACAGTAGGGAAGAATGAATTCGGATATCACTCCAGTCAATTATAGGGAAATTTAGCGTGGAACTTTAAAATTATCGATATGTCAAGGAAATATGTTTTTGAGAACGATAATTTGGTAAATTTTATACCTGCATTTTCATTCGAATTTCATGACCCGTGAAATATATCCATTTCGCCGTTACGTTCAATTTGTGTTCTGCAGTTTGTGATGTATTTCTGTATATAAGCATGGCATAATTGCCTAAGGTGCTATCAGAGCGTTTTACAAAATTTTGTCCTTGCGCAAGAATTATGGTGGGTTGAAATGCTTATTATTTGTGCTCAACTTCTTGATATTCTAAAAAGATCCTAGTGGATAAAATCGAAAAAGTGGATCGTTAGCACCCTGTGGACTTTGTTTTTAGCACGCTGCAAGAGTTTCATTTGGAAATACTAAAAAATGAAACGTAAGCTGTGAAGTGCCAATCGGTTTTTGGGCGAAACTCGTCTACTGTTTCGTCCTGCCAGTCCAAGCGACGCGACGGTGCGTTCCGACTACGAAAAAATGTATTCAAATAATTTGATATCCTTCCTAAAATAAATTCAAGAACTCAAATTACAATTCGTTTACTCATGTCAGTAAACACAATTATGTTTACAAGGGTCATGTGGTACATGGTAACAATTGAATGAGAGTCATAAAAATATCTTATGCCGTCAAAATAAGAGGAAACAGTTAGGTAGTTTTTGCAAAGCAATAACCAGGTAGTCTTATACCTTAAGTACATTTCTTGTCTACTGTAATAGGTAGATGGAGACGATGCTGCCAGAAATGGATGTGTGCAATCAATAATCGAACCAAAAGACTGAACTGCGGTGTCCAATGTATTTAGACCACAAATACAGGCCGCTGGGTATTGTGGCTCACTACAGCTGCAACACATCTTCCATGGTATGACCTCTTCTTGCAATAATTTATTCGCTTACCCCAATGTATTTTGCGATTATAGAATTGAACTGCTCCACACTATTGTTGACCTTATCATGAATTAAACTCCCTGCATTTGTAATTAATATGGTCGCATATGACCCTTTATTGTCCATTATCAGCCTTGATAAAAAAAGGCACTCAAGAACAATCACACCAACAACAATTCAACAACACAATATCGACGAACAGTAACAAGGGGAGAAAAATACTAAATGATCACTTGCTGAGTACCAAAATAAGAAACGATTTACATTCGAGATCTCTAATCGAAATCCGACTCTGTTAATATAAAAATTTACCTTGGTATGCACCCGCAGTCATCCTTTCCTTTTTTAAAGTAGCGCCGAAGACCGTGTAGGCCCAGCTCACCCTCGTTTCCTTTTCACCCCCCCGTTACCTCAGCAGATGGTGCTCGTGATTGTAGGAGCCCCGTTAACTATATTGAACGATATAGTCGCTGGCAGATGTTCAAAATTATACACTGTTCGCAAACATTATATTATTACATCGAAAGTTAAAAATAAAAATTATAAAAAAGCATACTTTCCAAACCCAAGTACACCAAAAACTTTTAACCTGAATTACAAGGTATGAAAAAGAAATGCTTGGTTACGTAAATTATATGTTTGGAGGGTTGAGTAATATTGTTTTACTTTTTGTCAAAAGACAGGTAATGAAAATTCTTTATATACTTTAGGAAGGTCATTATAAATAATAGCAACATTGTAGGAAAAACAGCGTTTAAAAGAGTAGACGTATGCTGAGGTATTCTAATACTCTTTTCTCTAGGGTTCTAACAGTGAACATCATTATTAAATGAAATTTTCACTCAAGTAAGATGGTTTAGACGTGAGCAGCAACTTGTGAACAAAAACTGAGTAGTGATACTTGACACAGTCATTAATTTTTAATCTGTTTAGAACGGGATATTTCGCTGATACATGATGAAATTTACACAATTGTTTTGAATAACTTGAATAATGTTTTTGGTGAAATTGTCTAAACATGTGTAGTATACGATATTACAATAATTTAGTATAGATATGACCAATGCACAGTTTTTCACGCAACTTAAAATTTAGCAAATACCTGTTTGCTATAAGAGAACGTAGCCTTAGAAAGGTTTTCTGGGAAGACTGTTAACATGTTCAATAATCCCTAATTTTGTATCAAAAACAACACCAAGAATTTTTGCAGAAACAGAAAATTGCAAGCTTTGGTTATTTATCTGAATGTTCAAGAGCTGTGTTACATTGTATTTTCTTCTTCGTGTGCAAAATAATAACATCTTAGATTTTTGTGGATTAATAAGTAGATTATGATCTGAAGAGTATTTAATTAATTTTCTAATATCGTTTTGTAAAGTTTGGGTAGTATTATTGACATTATCTGAGCAGCTGCGTATCGTTTGCAAAAAACTGGACGTGACAATTATCAATACTTTTGCTTAAGCCGAAATGTTAATATATTTTCTAAAATTCGTGCACTGACAGTGGCGCTATGAGGAAAATACCAAGAAGCTTCAGCTCGCTTCAACTACACGATAATTTTTGAACATGGCCAAATTTAATAGAAACTTTTCGAGGAATTATAATTTTGAAAAATTGCAAGAGTTTATTTTTTACCTTATCCAAGTGTTTGATCTGTTTTGGGCATAATCACAAGTGCCTGCATTTATTTTGTCTTTTTATTGATTACTATACAGTGCGTTGCGATAACAGCCATCATTACATTTTTAAGATGGCACCGCGTAAAACCAGAAAGGCCCAGAATCGCCTGGGATGTAGGCAGTCCCACTCCTAAAAGGACGTCTAGCCCCCTAAAGCGACAAGCGAAGATAAGGTTATCTGCCTTCTTGCAGTGTACCAGATACGTCACCCTCGCTCATCGTCCAGAAAACGCTAAAAGTCCTCCGATAACATGAAAACCCACCTGAAACTGACACCGCAACACTACTTTTCGTCAACAAATGTAAAGTATGATGATCGGCGCAAATTTATATATAATTAGCAATCTCAGATTTATACGTAGAGCTGGCAACTTTGCGTTGCATTAATGCACCATTTGGCAACCATGGCTAATCCTCAGAAAAAGGCTGCTGACAAATGACGAAAGTCAGCCGTGTAGGCCCTGAATAACATGGGACTTAACCTTCATTAGTATCCCAACCAAAACACATAAGATTGAAGAAGTGGGAGCTGCACGTTAAACAATGGCAACACCGTTGACTTTTATCAGATGGTTGGCACCGCCTACTTGCCTGGAGATCTACAGGAAGTATCGAAAGAATGCTCCTAGAATAAGGAATGCTAGGAATGTGCCTAAGATTTCGTTTGTTCATAATTTGAAATCTGCTGAAAATGATATTTCCGATATTGATTATTTCATGAACATATATCCATAAAATATCCCCAATAAGGGTAAGATCTCTTTCAGCAGTTTTGCTGAGAACAAGGTTCAGCATAATAAAATCCAACCCTAATTATGAAGCACCAAATATATTTAGTTTAAAAAAATTATCATATACTGTTGACAATCGTATAAAAATTGTATTACATACATTACATTAAAATACAGATACATTTATTTCAAATTCACGTTGTGGGTTGTACAACAAAGCTTCTTGATAATTCTGAAACAATTCAGAAAACACTAATGTATTCATATTTCTTTGTAAATAAGCTAGACTCTTTTAATTAGTTTGCTCAGTTCTATGCCTTTAATTTGTCGGCTTTTCATACTTTATATAACGGTGTCAACTACAAGGATTATAAGAGGCTGAATCCAGACGTGCAATTTTTAAATAATCTAGCAACTTCATCATGCCGATATGTTAAGTTCACAGCCTACCTGTAGCACTTTATGACTTATGACAGACTCTGCATCTCCCACAATAGTCACAATACATCTCACGTATATCATCACAGCTACTAAATAGTGTTGCTTTTTATTTTTATCTCCGAAAGCATCAGAGTTGATAATCTGGATGTTAACCAAAACAAACACCATCTTTCATATTTTTACATTTAGATAAAGTTAGAGAATCCCGGCAAGCAGCACGTGACGTGATGCCGATAATACAGTTTCCTCGATTTTGCCTGGAAAGGATGACATTGGTGTTGCCAGTTCGCCCATAAGACGCTGCACCCCCCTGATTAGTATTGTCTTGTGCTTGTGCCTTAACCTTATTTTTCATTTCCAAAATAGTTGGGAGAAAGTGGTTAGAAAAATGTCTTTGCAAGTCGCTAGTAAAACGTATATGCTTTTGGGCCAGTGTGTACCCTGCCTCAAACAAGGAGTTTCAAAATTCAAAGTTAAAAGGCTGGAATTGGATGAAAACTTACATAAGGTAATTTCAGAAAATAAACCCCCTTTTAAAATGGTTACAGTTTGAATCTTTGTAGTACTTCCCAAAACACGAATTCGTCTATGCTCACGATCCAGAAAAACTATGCAAGTCAGGTGATATTGCTCTGATAGAACTGCTACCCGAAAAACTAACTCGTCTCATATATCATAAAGTGAAGAAGGTGGTTTACCCCATGGGAGATATCACAGACCCCATAACAGGCAAGAAAGTCATAGTAGGAAAGTATAGAGATCACATAGAGAAAGTTAATGAGGTGTATGGTAGAAGGAAAGAAGCATTTGACTATGATAAGGCACCTGAAAGAGGCTGGCAGGAAAATAAGAAAGACTTTACTCATTTGGAGACATATATTAAATATCATGAGAGTGGAAAAGATGATCCAGCTGCAGTGTAGATTTATGTAATATTAGTAGTTTTAAATAAAGTAATATACCTTAAAACAGCCATTCCCAACCTTTTCTTTCTGCGAATCTCTTATAAAAATTGAAATATATTATATATATATTTGAATGTTAATTGAAACTGTATGAGATGTTCAGTAATATTTTTTTGTTTTCGTCAAGTTGAATTTTATTCTTTGATGAAGAACTGCTGAGAGAACCAAAACAGTCGTACTCATTCATCTACAGACATTGATTCCAAAAGTTGATATTCTTTAGCATGTCTTCTGTTCTATCACGAACATTGAAAATGGTGATTCCTGGACCTTGTAAAGACATATTTAGCTCATTTAATTTAAAAAAATATTGGCTAAGTTTTTGGAGCCACAGAATGTCAGATACAGAAGCGGATAAATGAAATGGATGATCAAGAAAAAATGCCTAAACTTCATTCTTCAATTCAAACAAGCTGGTCGAAACTTTGCAATGAGAAAGCCACCTAACTTCTGTATGAAGTAATAAAGAGGCATGAAGACTTCCCAAGTCTTCACAAAGTTCACAGAATAGACAAGAATTTGTAGCACAGGACTTTATAAAATTCACAACTTTTACAGCTTCGCTTAAAGTACTGGCTAACTCTGCTGTATTGTGCAGATTGCCAGAATGAGGTACAACATACGTGGAGAAATAGTACTCCAAGCAGAAGACCTGAAGGATATTTCTCCAAACAAGTTGATCGACTTCCTCAGGAGGTCGGAGCTACTGGGGGAAATATAAATTGGTGTGAGCCACAATAGACCATAGAGTCGCAGTGTAGGATCGTTATTGATACACACACAAGAAACCTAACCTAACTCTGCAGGAATATGCTTACATACCAATGCTTGCCTATGAATACAGCAGTGAGTCCATTCTATATTCTCGTTGATCTTCTTTATTCATGCCACAAGACCAGAATATGTCCCAGTCATTGATTTTGCACCATCTGTGCATACACCTAAGCAAAATGACCAGTTGCTTTCATGTTTTTCAAAATAGTCATTGATCACATTAAAAATTGCTGCACCAGTCGTAAAGGTTTCCAATGGTTTTGCAAATAACACATCTTCTTGAATGGAATTCTTAAAAATATATCTATCATCAACGAGCAATATTGCACAGTTTGCGACATCGGTCGACTCGTCAAGCTAAATAGCAAAATAATTCAATTTTATTCTTTTCAAAAGTTCAGTTTCGTTAATTCTCCGTGACACTGTGCTGTTTGATAAGGGCACAAGGTTCATTTTTTTGCCGCTTTTTCTCCAAGCATACACATTGCGACGTCTTTAGCACAAGGTCCGATCAAATTTTCTGCCACTGTATGACCTTTTCCAGATCTTGCGATCCTGTGACTAACTCGAAATAATGCTTCAAGTGCCATTTTACTATCTGCGTTGAAAGCCGACAGGAAAGAAGAAACGTTACAATTCTTATTACCTTCCAATTTCCTTTTAAAATATTCAATAGGTTTATCCTTGTAATCCGGATGACTTGTCTCAAGGTGCCGACTGAGATCGATGGTTTTAAACTACTGTTGGCCAGGACTTCATTACAAATTACACAAAGCGGTTTAGGTTCTGACTTTTCCCCAGTGAAATAAAAACCCATTTGCAAATAGTCAGTGTCGTATTTTCGTTTCTTTCCTTTTTTTCCCCACCATGCTTGTCTATTTTCTCATTACTTTTATTCTGGCCAGAAGGCACCTCACTATTACTTTCAATATCGCCACCCTGTTTTGAACCCAAATCGGGAACCGAAGAAGAAGTAGTAGTTGATTGCTCATCTGGCTTTTCGTCTCAGAGTTCACAAAACTGCCCGTTTTTAACCAACTATCCATCTTAAATTTACAGAATATCATTATATTTATTTAATTTCACGTTCGACATGCTTACGGCTCACGAAGCGCGTTCGAGTGTACTTGTACTTCCGTGTCGTTACTGCGACCTTTTTATATTTGCAGACGTTATTCTCGTTTTCCAGTGCATTCTCAGAAAGGTCTGGGTGCGCTCGATTCGCCGAAGTAGAACTCTTTCCGGATTGTTGTAGCGGCGGTGTTGCAATATTGAGCACAAATTTCGCCATTACCATAATTATTTCGCGAGCCCCCTTCATATAGCTCACGAACCCCTAGGGGTTCGCGAACCACGGCTTGCGAAACCCTGCCCTAAAACGTAGTTTGACATACCTGAGATGTATCTACATATCAGACTGTAGTTAAAGAGCAGAGTTGCCTAAAAAATACAATTTGTCTGTCCATATGTGAGTCCTCCTGCAGCCTGGGTCCTATGGGTGCTTAGACATGAATCTAGTATTCTAGTGGAATCAACTCTGCAAAATTATTTCACCAACACCTCAAATAGAAGTAGTATACGTATATATCATCGGGTGGATTAACAGATAATCTGGCAAAACTTCCTTGAAAAGATTATTACTTATTATTATTATCTCTAATAGAAGTAGTTGGGTTGGCTAATGGATATAGTATGATGATATTATATCTGAAAGATTGTTTGGCAAAATTGGAGAGTAGTCAGTGCCCCCAAGTGGATTAATGATGAAATTAACTTTGCAAGCTTCTTTAGCAAACACTTCGAATGAGGGTAATCAATGTTGTCATTGCTAGTTTCAGACGACTATTTGTTAATCAACCTTATGTCATCGACTGATCTCATTTGTGGTATTTGCCTGTTGAAGTTGAAAAATTCTTTTCACTAAACTATATCCTTCAACTATTCCAGCAACAACTACTACTTCTGTTGGAGGTGTTTTTTTATATACTCCAACTACCACAAAGGCCTAACACGATGGGGCTATACACATTCTGGCCCCGCCTAGTGGTACCTTCGCGTTGGACAGTGAGAGACCGTCTACCACCTACGGACAATCACAACATCCACATAGTCAAGAGAAAAATTCTTTTGGGACGCGATTCGAACCCGCGCAGCGCACGGCGACTGATTAGGAGATACATTAATATTAGTCTCTTTTGGAGAGCCCAATGGTAACTGACTTAGGCAAAGAAGTAGATGGGCATCATGTGGCCGGCTTCATGCTGCTATTATTGTATTTTTTTCTGATAACAAAATTGCGTAATATTTTTTGATGTCTACATCATTCTTTGTTCCAGCATTTTAGTGAATCAATGTGTCTGTTTTCTTGAGGTGCAATCCTAGATAAATTAGAAAAAAATAGATGCTTTCAAAATGGAATAATTGTAGAATTCATCCAATGACATTGTATGGAAAATGCGGAAGTTTAAAAAAAACGTGTGGATGAAGTTTATAATAATATAATTATAATAAGCCCTATTGGCGTTAAATCAGCATAAGCAAAAAAATACATTACAAAATTTGATTCGATGAATTACTAAATGATAAAAAAAATTGCATCTTTATAGTGACGCGGCATTACACTCCATCACCTGACATGCTATTTACAGCACTGGTTTGCGACACGCACAATGCCTTATACCCGTCAATACTCACCATGTCCTGGCACCTCGATCAACATCGCCAACCATCGCTCATGTTGTTCTAACTTATTCAGAGAATAATCATTTTTTTGAGCTATCACTACTTAACAGCACTCTCATTTGACAGCTAATACCATTGTACTGCAGATAGCATTGACAGACAGACACATCGCAAATTGTTCGTTATATTGTTATTGTTATATTTGCCATCGGACAAAGTGCGTTTAGTTTGACTAGGATATTTTTGAAGTCAAATATCTACTGAAAATAGTGCGATTAGAGTGTCTTTTAGTTTAGAATCTTATAGTAAGCAGTGCTATGAATGCAACGCCTCTTTTAGACAATGTGCGATTAGAAAGTTTGGTCCTCAAATATCGATTATTCGATTTATGGGAATACAACTGACCATTTACTTTGACTCACTGCATTGTGAAAGATCCCAAAATAATGGAAAAAGACATTCCAGGAGAAATCTGTAAAAACGAATAGCAAAAAAAATTCTGAGTGAAATAACTCCACATTTTTGAATGAAACACATTATGTAGTAGTACTTTAAAGGAGATAGCCTGGCGAAATTAACTATGCAAGTTTATTATAAAGTCCTCGAAGGAGTAGTTGATGTCATTGGGTATCAAGATATAGTCTGGTGAAATTAGATTTCAGTTAATTGATTTGTAGGATAATCTTACAGGTCTCTCCAACATAACCTTTTTTGCTTGTAGGGAGGTGATGTACACGTATAAAACAAACAAAAAACTGTTTTATATCATTTATTGTGAAAATGTAAATGATAATACGATAGGGAAGACGATAATACTATAAAGTGTAAGCAAAATTACCATAATACCATTTGAAATACTAATATAGGAATGTTAGCAAAGTCCATTAATCCTGTGACTTCCAGCATCTTCAGTAAAATAGTGAAATTATAAAATAATTGTAGTTATTTTTTAAACACTATAACTTTTTTTAATATTCTAATTAAAAATTTAATGATTTGCAAAGCTGGATCTAGGTATCAAGAGGAATAATTAGTTTTACCTTTTCTGATGGAGCAACGGATGATTTCAAGCCCATGCTTTATACCAAAATGCTATTGAATTGGCAACAGATAAATGAACTACAGCGCAAAAATATTTATGAGATTGAACTCGCAATAACGAAAAATATGCTTTGAACCATAATTGTTTTTCCAAACTTGATCTAGATCCAGCACATACAATTACTTTTGGGCAGAGAGATATGATCATGGAATGTTCTGTAGCTACAGTCACTCATCTTTCTAATTTGTTAATCTACAATATATACCCATATCAAATTAGAAGCTGATTATAAGAGATATTCATCACAAGTATAATTTGAATAATATTCTTTTTCCCATCGCAAACTCTAGATATGTGCTAATGATTGTTTCTATCTGCAGGCCTCACATACGGTTTGCCACCATACTTCTCCCATTCTCGATTGAACTCGCTTTCCAAAATCTCAGCACCTCTTTTCCTCGTCAGCCCTGTTTCTTCCAGAGACAGTTCACACATTTGCATGTCATCTTTTCCTGAGGAAATTAAAATGATTAAATTATTCCTTTGTAAATGGATGACCCGAAATGAAAGCGCCAAAGTTCACGTATAGAATAAATTCTTGAAATAATCCAATCATTTGTCGTTTAAAATTGGAGATGAATGGAAAGTTTCTGGGTAGTTTTAAAAAGGTTCTAGGTGCTCATTCTGAATATTCACTTTGCTAACTTATATCTTTTCTGCTCGAGTTTTGGAAATAGATCAATTGTCCAATGATTTGGTAGTTTTAACGAGAAAGTTTTGTTTTTATTTAGTTACCTCACTTATCTTTCCTCCACTCGCAGCTATATTGTAAAAAAGTGCCCAAAAAGTGACCATACCTTCATTCAGTCTTTTGATGGGAATATCAATTCTACGACAAACCAAAAAGTTATTTAGCATAACTTGAATTTGAAGTATTTTTGTACAACCGCGCGAAAACTGAGGTTTGATTCCTCGCAGTCGATCATCTGATGCTGCTGGTGCTGGGGGGTGATCGAAATCGACAGATTTATCGCATGGAAATTATATTATAAAGACCTTAAGTTATAACTGCTGCAAATCATAACTAACCTGCCACTAAAAGTATTGCACCCTTGTCAGGATGTAGTTCCATCTGTCTAGCAACGTACTGTCCATCAAAGTGAGCATACCACCATCCTCGTTTACCTGAAAAAATAAAAATTCTGTAAAATTTGAACCTTGATAGAGGTGGATACATTTCAATGGGATACATTTAGTGCAGATCCGTTAGACCATTGATTAACTTATTTAGGTTGCATACGCTAATCAATGGTTAGACGTAGAAACACGAAAACCTCGGAACCCAGTGAATAAACTTTTGAGATTTTTAGTGGAATGCGGTTAAAACAGTATATATATTTATGTGCTTGCTTTTTAAGTAACTTTAATCTCCTTAAATTCTGCATTCATGCTTATGTTTTTTGCATATGATTATTAAGGTTTATAATATACCAGCTGGTAGATCCCATAAACTGAACAAAAGGTTCATATAAAGTCATGTCTTCTACGGATTCGTAATTAATATACAGATAAAACTGTGAATCGATGATTAGAATTAAGGCACTTCATATTAGTTATATCCAACTCGAATTATCCTAGGGATAGTGCTATTAAATTTTAACAAGTTATTTTGTAGTTTAAATAAACATGCAATTGATGTCTTTATGAGTGTGATCAAGGGAGTTTCAAATGAGACAAAATTATTTTGCTCGTAACAAGTAAATTAAGTGTTTGCAGCTAGAAAAAAATACCAAATATTGAAACTCTTAGAATGAAACAGGAATGCGAGAATATTCCTGAATTTCTTCATCAGGATCCGAGTAAAATAACAAAAATCGCAGGTTCTGTTTGATGCATATTTACACTACAAATATTGGAACATATTTAAATCCATACGGATCAAAACCAGTCCGAAAGGATAGGAATATGGCTGTTGGGAATATTTTATACATTTCAATTTATTTCTGTGAGTTATTCATCGAGTTGACTCTGAAATTGCTCATTACAAAAAGTGGAGAATATTTTTCGCGTAAAAGTCCCTTAATCATACCTACAAAGAAAGCAGTAGTACCAAACTACTTATAGTTAAATTTTATTATTTATTTACGATATCAAAAATCACAGATTTTTGCAAAAAAAAATTGATTGAGTACATTCTGCTGCAAATGATTACCCTGATCAACACAGTTGTTGTTTCTTTGAAATGGAATCCGGAAGTACCGTTGCCCGTTGTTATCTAATACTGCAACTTTTTGTTGTGCTGTCCTCTGGGCGCTTCTAGCGGCAGATTCTAGCACTGATCTCGGTGCTCTTTCGTCCTCGTAGGTCGTTACTGTACGTTTGCGGTTCTTTGCTTTCCAAGCGTGGTACACCTATAATGAAAATACAGTAATCAGGTTTCAACATCTATACTCACTTATGCATTTATTTCAAAAATAAACTAAACGCTATAGCTTGTTTCTTTATTGTTAATTCCAATACTATACACAGGAATGCATTAAAATATAGGTGGTCACATAATGCTTATGATTTAAAAAAACATAGCGCTACAAATAGTAATCTGTCTTGTAAGAGAGTGTGAGTTCGGAGGGTTAGGGATTCCAAAATATAACGTTATCCGCAGTGACGTCCAACATTTGAAAAAAAAAAATCAAAAATGAATGTCATGCAGGCCTATTTTGTTTTATACTAAAGATAATCCGCCACAGTTGATCGCCTTTAATTATTCGTGTTTTTGAAAAAGAAGGAGACATCCAATAGCTATGGTCCTGTTGAGCTATTACTAGAGATGACAATTCTTCAGAAAACATCAATGTTAAGACATTGATAATCATCGCCTTCAATATATCAAAATAAATAAATTGCATCATCGAATCAAAGGCTGCTTTCTTTTAACTCATGATTTTTGTGCTTTTAATTCAGTGATTCATCGATTGCAATCGGTTCCAGCGGAAAAAACGACAAAGCTATCTAATCTAACTATAACAAAGAGAAAAAGGGTAAATATCAAAATACTGAGAGTATCTTCTGCACAGTTTACTTTGAAGGAGATAGAGAATATAGAGTCTACTAAACAGATTTCTGCCATGCCAGGAAAGTGATGATTTAGCCATTTTTGAAGGAACCATCCCTTATGAGAGAGATGCTAGCACAATAAGGCACACCAAGGTTTGATCACTTTGATGTAGATGCATCATCGGTGCCAAAACATACTTACCTGCCACTCTAAACATATCACCCAATAGCTATGGCATTATTGCGCTACTACTTATTGAAAGCGTTTTTCTACTTTTGAATAGTTATTGTGAAGTCATAGACGTATAAATAAAATAAATAAATAGAGGAATTGTTTTTATTAAGCATACCTTTAAACGCCGATGAAACTCGTGCCTGCAAGCTTCAAGCAGCTCTATGTCGCATGACGTGTTTATAGTATCACGTAGCTCGGAATACTTCCATTTGGACAAATCGTATTTGTTTTTTGCGTTGACATCCTTCCTCGACGCATCTGATCTGCAGAAAATTATACGTTCAGTATTGTAAATCGTAACCGATTCATTATTTTTTATTATAATAATCATGCGTTTGTACTAGTCAATTTGCAAATGAACTGTTTCTTTCCAACCTCTTATGTAATATCGGATATACAATATCTGAAGATGAATAAATTAATTTGAAATATACTAACAGGTTTCTCGTTTTTTTTTTTCAAACCAAAGATTTGTTCTTTATACTATTGATTGTGTTTTCCCATTTGGAATGGGTATCTTTTGGTGGAATATATTAGTCAATGCTTGTAATACTATCTTGCGGTTTATTCTGAGTATTTAGAAGTACTCTGCCTTCACACTTTATTTGTATTGAATGTCGTGAAAACAACAACAACAAACAAATAATCCGAAACATAAAATAAAAGACATTTTTTTACCTATATCAATACTGTCTGAGCAAATATTTTGCATACAGAAGAGTATGTTAATTTCTTGCACCCATGATAAGAAAATTGTTTAAAAAAAGGCGGCAAGACAAACAGGAGGGAAAATGTGATTTAATGTTTATGAGTGAAACAATATTTGAGAGTTTGTAACACTGAATTAGTTTTTCAAAAGGTTGACAATGTATTTATGTGTAACTTTACTTTTTATAATACATTCTGGATGTATGTGTTATAGGATTACTATAGAATTATGTAGCACCAAAATAAAATATCGGACGTTGATAATTCAAGTAACATAAAGCACGCAGATCAGATGTTGAACGTATATTCATAAAAAGGGTCCAACATCTGCGTTATGTAATAGTACACAATTTTCGGACAAGAAACATATTTATGTGAGAAGAAATTACTGATTATGATAGATGACATTAGAAGATAACGGAAGTCAAATGGTCATATCATTCGACTAGGGAGGACGGGGGGAGAGGGAGAGGGTTGTCGGCAGCCTTGCTGCAAGGTATCATAACTCCACGGTAGGTCTAGTTAAATAAATTACATTTTGGAGATTTTTGTAGAAATAGACCATCAAATTTAATACATCAGTATAAAGTATATGAATAAAATGTGCCATGTTCAAGAAGTCATAACCATCATGCATGAGAGATCAGGGTCAAGCTTTGAAGAATATTGAAGTATTATTTTAACTACTACTTACCTCAAACTAAATCTGAAGTCTTAATAAAAACATGCAACTCACCACTATTTGGTAATGCTTATTCAACCTTTCAAGGACATAGTAAGATAGATATCAAACGTACATGTTCATGATGTTGATGTGTGAAATCTAATAGAAACTACTAATATGAAATGGATTTAATTATTCTGTTCCCTCGTGTTCGTCTTTAACTGTATCAAAATTAATCGGAATAGTTACCTCGTTAACATATTAGTTAATAGTTATGAATATCAGGTCAATTCCAATAATGAAGGTAACAATTGAAAATTAATAAGTCAGGTAACTATTATCACATTTAAAACATTTGACATCTGTCCTACTCGGAGCATCGTATCAGTTGATGAAAACCCTATGGATCTATAAAATCACATCATGTTATGTCTTGTAATAAAAATAGTATCAGAATATATATAAACTACTAGGAGAAGAAATATTTGGCATGGTGTAGTTACATCAATATAAAAACATTTTACTAAAAGTCCAATGGTAGTACATGTCTACGTCTCCCAAAATAACAGTGGTCAACACTCATAATTCTGAAATTCGTGATTTAAAACTTGCATTGAATATGTACCTTATTATGAAAACACTAGTCCATAAAAATGTATACATCAAAATGAAAAATCTGCCTGGGAAAAATATAAAAGAAACTTCTCGTATAGCCTATCAAATGTATTCAGTTTAAGTGAATGTAGGGAATAATATTAATGAACATGAGTAATATAAAAATGAATGTATTAAATAAATTGTCTAGTTCAAACGACCAAGGAGTTTCTGAATAATATGAGGGATAAAATATGTTCGACCAAACAAATTGGTAGGAAGTTTAGTCGAATCTTAAAACTGTTTGTGACTATAAAAAATTCTTATTGGAAATATCCTAGTGAGCCCTGTTTCCATATTGAATTAACTTCAGCATTCCAAATGAAAAGAACTGCTAGGGTTTCTATTAACACACCATAACTTCTTCGCATACAGCATATATTTAGTACTATCAGTGAATGTACAGAGGACAGGACAGGACTAGACTACATGATTGCCAACAACAAATTAAAAAAAAAAACAGTACTAAGGGGAGAAAACCGAAGCAAAGACAAATGCCACCCTTTTACAAAGTTTATCGTATTTGTCATACTTGCGTATCAGCGGCGGGCTTTCTTCCACTTGGCCATTGGTTTCTTGGGCTAATCGTAGGGCTAGTTCCCTATCCTGACGTTCTTGCTCCAATTGCTCTTGGTACTTCCTTTCGTCTTGTTCCAGCTTTTCTTGCTGTTTGTGCAGCTCTTCAGCTAACAGCCTATCTGCTGCCTCCTACAAAACGACATATATACTTAGAACCGAATTTGTCTGACGGCTTGAGTTCAATGTATACGAGAGAGGTGTGAACAGACTCATGTGTCAGAAATATATAGAAGCCGACCGTTCGCTGTCGCATGTAACATGTAATAATAACTCAGGATGTGTTGATTTTGTCAGCATCGGTGGATATCAAAGAAAATTCTAAAATAAATTGGAACACTAAGTCGCATCAAAATATCAATAAATAATTCTAATGAAAATGAAAACAAAATATTAAATTAAATTTTCGAACAGACCTCCTTCTTGGCTTTGATAGTAACCTACTCTATTGTACAAGCCTGAGCGAACATTTTCTGGTGTAACATATTGGCAACGCGGCAGATTGCGTCACCGTGGCTAGGTAATGTGGTGATGAACTTCGCTGCGCTCTTCAGCCGGCTTCTAACTCTTTCTAACAGGTGTTGATATACACTTCTCGCGCTTCTCTCGTACGGATTAAACTCAAACCGTCAGACAAATTTGGTTCTCCTTGTGTGGGTGTTTAACCTTTTCTACTTCACCTTTACATTCAGTACAAAGCAAAACCAAACTAACATCATTAGAAGACCAAATTTGTAAATATTTAAGTTGGAAGCACCAGTTCTTCCAAAAGCACAACCTAGAGAAAATTACTTTAACTATCCTAAATTGTTTACATCCGTTTTTTAAAGATGATACAGTTAATGTTCGTTTTTTGGTGGTGGTGTGTGTGAAGATTTCAAAAGGTTGTTTTTGCATTTAAACTATGCGCACCAAAGTTACTAAATGTGCATAAGTTTTTCTTATATTTGTGGCACACTCTTTCGATTTCTGTATGTACAGAAAAATCTAAATATACCTGTTTCTTCCTTTCAAGTTCTTCAGCTTTCCTCCTAGCCTCCATTTCGACCTTCATCTTTCTGTGCTCTTCTTCATCCCTCAACTTCCTTTCTTCCTCTTCTTTCAGCTTTTTCTGTCTCTCCATTTCCTCTCGGATCTTCCTTAATCTTTCTTGTTCTTCTGCGATCTTTTCTTCTTGCAACTTCTTCTGAAGTGATGCCATTTGTTGATTCACTTGTGCCACTAACTCCGCGTACATGCTTTCAACTGCTTTCCTATCCATCTTATCGTCAAGCTGGAATGGAAGATATTTATATAACCTTAGCATGATGCAGACTGATCCGTACTGAATCACAACAAGCGATGCTGGGCTAAACTTGTAAAAATTGCGATATTTAGCGGAATAATAAGTCTTAGCAAGATATTGCTCGTTGACGAGATACACGGTTTAGTTCTCGAAATTATTTCTCTAGAGTAGTAGTAGTAGTAGTTTTTGTGGCATCGACATGAACGTTGGAATTCGGGGTTTCTGAAGATTATTCTATTTTTCACAATATGTAAGTATACGTATTATTTTATTTTGCGCAATAGTATGTATAGGGATTTAGCTTGTTGCTAGTTTCGTTTCATAATTTTACTGAAAATTATGATTGTGTGATGATTTTTAAGTAAAACATGTTTTTTCTATTGACTAAACCATTTTTGAAGTACTAGGATGGGCGCACGCGGAAATTTGGATAAGGCATGAAAACTTCACATGTCATTATACCTGAGCTATTGTCGACTAGCTACCTTTCCGTGTATTGTCTTTTCCAGACCAAAAAAGTGATGGAACAGAGAAACAAGCAAAGGATATGTAGAGAAACTCTTACCTTGATTTTTTCCATCGTAGATGCCATTTTGCTCTTAAGACCATCAATTTCGTTAACAACACTGGCTTTCTGCTTCAATTGAGAAGCGATTTCCTCTAATTTTTTCAAGCTGCTATCTAAAGTACGTATATTTCTTAAAATTGTTATCCTAGGTCCGTATTTCCTTCTTACTAAGTAACCTCTTACGGTTTTTTGCATAATTATCAGCGCTTTTCTTCTGTATGCAATTTTGTTTTTCACTGAAAGAACAGGTGAGATCAGAACTTTTTGTCAACTATTGGTTGGAGGGATAGTTGTGAGGATTTTGAAATTAACCAAGGTATCCATACTTAAAAAAAGTTGTTTAATCAACGATGTAGTAGTAGTAGTTCTGGTGAGGAGGCGAAGCCTGACAGCTAGGCCACATTTCACCCTTTTTGCCGATCACCTAGTACCAACCAAGTTTAACCAACAATGATTATCAATCTAATTCTATAAGCTCGTTCCAACATTTTGAATTTGTCATAGTGCCGCTTGCGTAGAACCGTTGAACCCCGTCAACTCAGTAGCCATTTAGAATAGCCACAATTGAATCGATTATTTATTCATCAAGATTATTCTACAAAGTGCGAAAAAAGTAGAAATCGGGTAAGTCTAGGTCTTAATAATACGCTATGCTGCACTTCTTCCTAACAAAAGCTTAGTAATTTCCTTTTCTTGTGGCCAAAGAAATGCGACATGTAGTATGACTATAGATTTTCTGTTCGGTAATAGTGACCGCTTCTCGTGCAGTGCAAAAACAATTGCTCGAACAAAGTACAGAAGTTTTCCGACATTATTTACCCCAGTGGAAGCATATCGAAAAACAGAACGCCATAGTGAAGCCACTATACACGCATAACACCACCTTAATGGATCTAAACATTAAATTTGGTTTTGAAGTAACTCAGCACCCACCATATTCTTTAGACCTAGTACCATCCGATCTATATGTGCTCAGCACTATGCCGAATAATCTGAATCTTGCAATCAATTGAATGTCTCCGAATTCACCTCTCTGACTGTTTTTTGTCCCCAGATGGCTAAAAGTCTGTGGACTGAATCGTTATTGTTAAGTATAGATATACTGGTTAACTTTTCACTTCAAATTCAATTTAATGCATCAGGTTAAGAATAAGATTGCGCACCCATATTGCTTCTATCCATGGGATCGTTCAGTGCTATTATAAAAAATGCACTTTCAAAAAAATCTGAAAAACTAAATAGCCCAGTTTGTCTGATCGGTGCTAACCCAAAAGAATTTTTTCTTCCATATCTTACTTTTAATAATAGTTAACACGCAGAACTGAGACTTAATCCACCTAGATTTTATCAACCATTTTTTGATAGCTGCAACAACACTCTTGAGGTTCTCAGGATCCGACTTCATGATCCTGTCAAATTCAGCAAACTTTCCTGGCCTGAAGAACACCTTTGTTATACCGAACTTGAAATCCTTTTCTTGGAGTTTCAAACTATGAAGCATTGCCTAAAAACAAAATCGTAATCAATTGCATTTTATTATATAACTCGGGAGTTTAGGCCTTAGGCCTTGGTGGTAGTTGGAGTATAAAAAATAACTGATTTTTTGCAGTTAAAAAAGCATATGTTCTAAACATTTTATTGGGCCTTAAAGGATGCCGCTTTGGTAAGATCCAAGTTAGAGTACTGCGCTATTATTTGAAATGTATACCACACAGTGAATTCAAACACTTTGGAAAAAGCTCAAAGGTGATTCGTGAAATACCTGTGGTTTAAGTTAGATGGTTTTCGTAATGACGTTATTCTGAGCCGCTTCAATTCATCAAAACGCAGAGAATTTGCAGGCTTACATTTTTTCAAATTACTCAACAATACGATCGACTGCCCTTTTATCTTACAGAAGATAACTTTCAGAGTACCAAATTTGCGTAACTAACCAACTCATTCTCTTTTCTATCTTCCTCGAATCAATTTATTATTGTCATCACCAGTGTATGCAACTTGTCGTAATTATTATCAAATATCAGACAGGATAGGCATCTTTACTTGTAATGAAGAGATTTAAGGTTGTGATAGTAGGGTGAGTTATTATTTGTAATGAACAGTTTAAGCTTCACGGCTACTGATTGCTGTAAGCTAAATAATGTACTTATGTTACTTTCTGTGAATAAGCATTTTTATTCTGTTTTACTTGTTTTGAATATTGTTTCTTCCCTGTTCTGTAAGTGGATATCTGTCTGTTGAGTAGGTTTATTTTCATAAATAAATAAAATCCATGGTTGAATGACCAGAGAATATGTATTTCTGTATAAATCAATTTAGCGTGATAAAATTAAGGAAATCAGACCAACAATTTCGAGTCCAGATAAACCTAATAAACGTACCCAGCTGTGATCGGTGGGCTGGCGGTAGGTGCCTGGAACTCGTAAACTATTAGTAATATGTTTATAATTCCTGCTAAACTAAGAATCTGCATTAGATTTTCAACAAATTATGTCATATACATTTTTACTGTAGGATCAATACTTTAGGAGCTACAAGGTACCTTGGTTGATAATAAAAAAACAATAGAATTATACTTGAACATTTTAATTATTACAAAAAGTAATAAAAACGTTCTCCAGGTATATCAAATCTAGAGAAAATTACACAAGTATCAAATCAAATTAATAAAATGTTATTCCACCATTGTTATTATTTTCATCAACTTCAATGGGGGTACCATTTGTACATGTTCTTATGCTGCCGTTACAGTTAAAACTGAAACTAACCTACTTACGGCAACTGCATTTGCTAAAACAACCACTCTTACATCGACAGAAAATATAACTCAATAAGTGTCAGGAGCAGAGGGATCGAAGGTCGTGATTAGCTCTAGGTTTCCGTCGACTACTCGCGCCCAACCGCACATTTTTGGCGGCAGTTGGTTCCCAAGCCGTTTGTGCACTCTATAAATATGTGCGACAAGAAAGACTGGTACTTTATTTCAAAAAGTTTTTATCGATATCTGTGGATTTTGAATCATAAGATACATAAATATCCTTTTTCAATGGACGTGTCCATAGATTTTGTGCAAAAAGCTTGATAAATGACACTTTGGCTTTTCTGTAAATTGTTGAAGTTGTATTACAACCACTGAAACTATGAAGAAAAAGAATCGAGCCACAATATGAATATTTCGAAGTTCTTGGGAAGAAAATACAGGGAAAACTAAATTTGTCTGAAGGCTTGAGTTCAATGTGTACGAGAGAGAAGCGCGAGAAGTGTGTATCAACACATGTTAGAAAGAGATAGAAACGGCTGAAGAGCGAAGATCATCACCACATTACCTAGCAACTGTGTCGCAGAAAATCGTACAATCTGCCGGGTTGCCAATACAGAAAATGTTCGCGCAGGCTTCTAAAATAGGTTAGGTTACTGACAAACCCAAGAAGGAGGTCTGTTCGAACATTTAATTGAATATTTTGTTTTCATTTTGATTAAAATGATTTTTTCCAATTTGATGAGACTCCCCAATGAGAGCTAGATGGGTTCTGATCAAAATCGCTCATCTATGATCATGGAGGTGGAAACTTTCTGTTGGAATGTAGGAGATGCGGTGTTGACGAGCGAACCAATGATACAGTGTTGCAGAATTTGTGGCAAACCAATGATTTAGGACGATCCTGACCTTTCATTTCGACCTAAAATGGAACGCCATTAGGACCGATCCGGAATCGATCCTAAACAGATTCAACACAATTCATAATTCAAAAATGTGTACGCTCAAAATAAAACCATTATTTGGGCGTTGAGAATAAACTAACGCATATTTCCAACATGCATCTTAATTCACGGATCTGGTGTAGCAAATTGGCAACGCGGCAGAGTGCCAGCCGGCTTCTATCTCTTTCTAACATGTATGTCTATACTCACTTCTCTCTCGTTGACATTGAACTCAAGCCGATAGACGAATTTGGTTCTCAGTGTATACTAGTTTCTACAGTTTTCCTTATTGTCTTGACAAAAAATATTTCTTTGGTTGGTCGAGTGAGAGCCATAAGAAGGAGTACAAGATCAAAATCTCCAACAACATCAACTACAGGGCAATAGAACAGACCTTGATGCGCAGTATGAAGAGCTGCGGAGAACTGACCCGTGGAAGGGGAATAATGGATTCAATAATAGCAAAATGCCTACAGGCGACGGTACTAAGCAGGGCCGGATTAACCCTACCAGGGCCGCTAGGTAATGCAATTCTCGGAGCCCCTTTACCCTTTTTGTATCTTTTAAAAAACATTGTTTCTAACATGAAATATATGCATAGTATGATAAATCACAATAAAAGTAAATGAAAGAAAATCATATCTATCTATATGTCTTTAGGTTAAATTCACAGTCGTAAAACTCACAAATCGCAATTACAGAAACCTTTTCTGATCATACAATCCAACTACGCTACGGTATGCATCCAACGGTAATGAAGTCTAGTATTATTACCACCCGTCCTATATTACTAAATACCAGATGGTTCTGTGTGTATGAAATATCTCATTGATTAACATACGTCGAAAATAAACAATATTTAGTTAATCCGGGAGGATACAAATTTTCATATAAAATGTTCGTTCAATAAAACACTTTACATATTTTTTTTTTCGATGCGTGGGCCCATAGGCACTTGCCTACTCTGTCTGGTGGTTAATCTGGCACTGGTCTACTGTTTACTAGCAATGCTATCTGCTCTTCACTTGAGCGATTTAGCCCAGTATGTATCAAGCTTTTTGCACAAAATATACTGACAAACGATATAGCAACTGCATTTTATAATCCAACATCAGTTCCATTACCTGTAATGGAAGTCTAGGAGCATGAGTACCAATGGTATCCCCACCGATGTTGATGAAAAAGATTATGACATTGAAAGATTTTATCAATCTGATTTGATACCTGGGAACGTGTCATTTATTATTTTTTGTAATAAAATATAAACGTGGAATTTTATTATTGATTTTTATCAGTCAATATACCCTGTAGTCACAGCTTAAATAACAATCAGCTAGGAAACTATCATGTCAGGGTCAAAAACGGCCATCATTTCGGCGGAGAAAATGGCATGCAAATTCCCCTAGTACAACGATGAAAGAGGTTTTAGAGTTCAGCAGCCGGTGTTGCCACGCATCCTGCCAGCGGCTGCACATATTCTTTGCAATCATAAAATGATGATATTTCGATATGATCTAGTGTAGTTTGTGTGAATCAATCATAAAAAGAGTATGTTTGTTCATAAAGAAGCGGCGAAGTATTGATGACTATTTATTTATGAAAAAGCTTTAAAATAAATTTGTAATAGTGGAATTAATTACAAGAAACGGAAAACTATTTACTTTTATTTTATTCTACGCTGCTGCAATATAATCAATCCACTGCACTTTCAATGTAAGCAGTGCTAAAGATACAAGAAAAATACAGCCTTCACTCCATCACAAGAATTTCGGTGTCTTTGTCGGGGAAAAAACGAGGGAAAACCACCAGCAAAGTGACAACCAACGCAACTTCTCAACTAGAATGGCTGCCGTTTTTGACACTGATAGGCGAGTTTCATAGCCGAGTGTTATCTAAATGTGTTGTAGATCTCAAAGTTTTGAACCTACAGTATAAATGTATTTGACATAATTTGTTGCAAATTTAATATATATTACTAATGTAAGAAGCATTGTAAATACATATATGAATATTTTACGATATATAAGCAAAAAACTGGAAAACAATGTCTTTGCCCCTTCCTCCACCGACGGCGACGGTTCAATCCCACAGTCGGGGATACGTCAATCTGGATACCTCAAGGAATATCTATACCAATTTTCAAAACTACATGAATTATTTGGGCATACTAATTTGCTTATGCTAATTGGTCGATGTCATTTTTACAGATAATATCGGTAAAACTTACTTCACAAAATGTTTTTGGATTGAGCTGCTTGAGCTCTTTCGGAAGATAGTCTTTGTACATCGAGTGTAGATCAGCGAACGATGTTCTGCTTGGGTACCCATATTCCATCAGTTCCAGAACACTTATCATTCCAGAGCATTTCAGTTGCATCAAACTTAAACTTCCGTCGAACTGGTGATCCACCATTTTATTATTGGGTTTTATACAACGAATGAAGTTAGTTCCCTAAACACAGAAAACGGTATATCACAATGAACAAAAACACTGAGCATATAAGAAAGTTTTTGTCGGAATTTCTTTTGTAGATGTTATTACTTGGACAAACTCTTCCATCATATGATCAAACAATACAACCAACTGTACAGTGCGACCAACATAAGTTGATCTATCCGCTTATCTCAGAAAACAACGAGTATAAAAAATATGTTGATTAGATAATATTAGATCAAATTTTCATTTTAGTATATTTTTCAATATACATGTTCAGTTTATTTGGCATCCCCTAGATTTTTTACCATTTTCGACTAATTATACAATTTGCAGAGATATTTTGTCTTCATACGTATGACTTTTTTTTGAATTAAAGATATACAGAAGCGGACAAAAGTTTAGAAACATTCTTAATCATTTATAAAAAGTGCGCTAATTTTGTATTCTTTATTATTAAGGACTGTGTTTGCTGTGGTCCTATAGACTAGCATTAAAATACCTTCATATTATTTTATGACCAAAAATGAGACGACAAAAGTATGGAAACATATTTTTTTACAAAATTAAATACAATAACTCTACAAAAAGATTTAAAAAATACTGTTTAGCTAATATTGGTAGCATAGCCTTTAGCACTGCGTGACATCTGCTGCTCATAGAAGACACCAATTTTTTACAGACGTCTGTTGGGATATTTTGCCAAATATTTTTCACATACTCAAATAAATCGATTCTATTTTTAAAAGTTTTTCTTGTTAGTTGTCTTTTAACATGCTCCCAGATATGTTCTATAGGCTTAGGGTCAGGGAATTGCGAAGGCCATGTAAGAACATTAACTTTTTTTAGTCTTAACCAGTCCTTTACGAATTTTGAGGTATGCTTGGGGTCCATTAAATTGCTGGAATGTCCATCGTAAATGCCTTTCTTCTTTAGCAAAAGGGATCATATGTTCACTAAGAATATCTTTGTAAAGTTTTTGTTCCCAACAATTGTAACAATTGGACCCGTTCCAGAACTATAAAAACAGCCCCAAATCATGATGTTGCGTCCACCGTGCTTAACTGTTGGCAACTGATACTTTTTGTCGAATATTTTTCGTATTGGACGTCTCACACATGCCGGACTGGACTGTTCTGACAGACAGATTCTCGGCACCCTCTTTTACGATTCTTTTGAAAACCTATGTGGTTGGCATTCGAGGATTTTTATGGGACAAACGTTTAATGTAGCGATCCACAACATAATCGATTTTTTTTGTTTTTTTCCGGTCTTCCAGACCTGGGCCGCGTTGCTGTTGATCCGTATTCTTGTATTAGTACGGGAGACAAAGGTAGACTTTAATATTATATTATATGTTCCTTCACAATTTTAATTTAGGTATATGAAGTAGTTCATAATAATTTTAGTATTTGTTTCCAATCTTTTGTCCGCTACTGTATATCATATTTTAAATATATTTGGACAAATTCTATTTATTATCAACCTTGAGAATGGCTCATGCCGGATATTGGCCTAAATTACTTCATATACCCGTCGCGACTCTATTTTCCATATTTCAGTTCATCGAATATTCTCCAAACATATTCAACTTGAAAAAAAAACTATTTTTGAATTTCATATGCATTTTTATAACGTCATTTAGAGGATTGATTTCCCTTTGATTTGGTATGTATATGTTCAATATTATTCACAATTAGCATTTAAAAACTACCTATTTTGGGAAAATATTTGTACTTAGTATTTATCGGCAATAAAGGTAACTCCATAACATTTACTTGCATTGCATTTCCTCCAAAAACCAGACTCCAAAAATGTATCTTACTCGTGGTACAACTATATTGATGTTGACTCAAGTTTGTCAAAATCCTGCCAGGAGTAAACAATTGGTTTAGCAAGTGGTAAAACTGGGTAGCGTTGATATACTGTCGAAGATTAATTCTTTAAAATTTTATAATGAAAATACATGCAACAATCCTACATTATGTTGAATGAAATGCCGTACTATAGACGGAAACTTGTGGACCAAAACAGGCTCTATTTATGAAATACGCATTATTAATGTAAAACAAATGGAGACAAATACTCTTCACTCCATCAACGCTAGTTTTACTACTGGCGAAACCAACTGTTGACTCCCGACACCATTTTGGCTAATTTCACTCAATATCAGTACGGTTGTGCCACAGTTAGATAATACATTTTTGGAGTCGGTACAGTTTTTGAAAATTTCTTTAATGAAAGCAAATTTTATGAAACCTTTTATCAAACCTAAGGAAAATACATAACGTCTTTTCGGAATGCTAATTGTGAATACCAAATGAAAGGGAATTATGTAAGATTATATAGAAATAATATTTTTAATAATTATTGCAAATATATGATGTCGATTTCAAGCACCCTGTATATTGGAACCAAGAAACTTTTGTAGTTAGCATTTTTTTACATACTCATTGATTTCTGAGAAAAGAGAATATGTTGACTACCCCATTCATGTTTCACCATAAAGATAGAGGTGTTTTAAAACGTCGTGAGCCATGACCGTTAGACGACATGCGCGGAATCAAATCTGTGGAGAACAATGACGTCTTGAGTAAGACGTCATTGGTGGAGAAGCAGACGCGCCACAATACAAGCATTGCTAAAAACATAACTGATACTAGGTCTGCTGTAGGTCAGTCAAACTATTTCGGTAATTTTTGTCACACTCCTATTTATTAAATAATTTGGTGTGGTGATACAACATAAATTAATTACAGAACGCGAATTCTTTAACGAAACATTAATGCGGGCCATTCACTAGACGGACCTGAACTCGGACGGCAACCGGGACCCGACTGACGACTCATCCACGTTTGTCAATACATTAGACGGAAACTACACGAACCCTGCAAAAGAGCTACACTGAATGTGGCGAACCCAATAGCATTATGTCTCCGATATTATCAAAAAAGGCGAAAGTTGCTTTGGCTGTAGGTACAATCATATTATTAGAATCAGAAAAAAAGAAAAAACGTGTTTGGGTGAAAGAATGGCTGCAAAAGAGAGAACAATTTACTCATTTGCGATTATTGAAATGTATCCAATCATGTGAACCACTTGATGTTATAAATTACCTCAGAATGGACTATGACGCATTCCAAGAATTATTAATGCTAGTAAAACCTCTGATAGAAAAGAAGAACACTTTATTCAGAGAAGCAGTAAGCGTTGAAGAACGTCTATTGGCCACCTTGAGGTTTCTGGCAACTGGAAGGAGTTATGAAGACTTGAAGTTTTCTTGTATAATTTCTCCTCAGTTACTTGGAAGAATAATTCCAGAAACGTGTCGTGCTATATACAACTGCCTCCGGAAGAAATACTTATGTGTAAGTACAATAATTATTTTTTTCATGTATTCTGATGCATATAAGAAACAGAGTGTTGAAAAAACTTTTATTTCAAATTATGTCTAACAATTAAAGATATGTGAATCAGTCTGTAATACTCGTAGTACCTTATCACTTCTTAATTATTTTGCCTGGGAAAAACTAAAAATTCTTCCATCACTTCCCTATTTGCAGACGCCTGATTTTGAGTTGTCAAAGTGGTAAAAGTTGGTACATCTGGTTGACGTGTATATGACGTGCTGGGTTCATTAAAGGTTGGGTTAATGGATGTTGTATACCTGGAGCATGAGTTTTGAAATATTTGTGCTTGCGGAACGCATGGGGCACTTTGATATGATGGTGGTTGGTAACCCAGGGAAATATGAGAAGAATGTGTGAGATTTCCCAATTTTGCATGGTATAGCACATCCGAAATCAGTTTTTGGGCTATTATCTTCTGTCCAACTGCAATATCCTGTAATTGTTGACCAGTATTTTTGCCAAATGTTATTTCTTGTGGTTCAAGAACATCCTGTTGCGGAGTTTCCAATACTTTTATGGAAGCATCCAAAAATTTATTTTTCTTCTATGTCCAAGTTGTGTAGTTGAGAGTTCGCTTGTTACGGGAACCTGGTGTTGCACTTTGAGGAGCTTCAGGCGATAAAACTGATGATGAATCTAAATCTTGATCAGAATGTTGTGTGTATGCATCGGTTTCCTGCAATAAAATAGCTCACAGTTAACTTTGCCTCATATGACAGCTGTGTTATTTTTGGTTTCAGTTTCCATCAAAAGAAGAGGAATGGCTCAAAGTAGCAGAAGGATTTAACAATATGTGGCAATTTGAAAATTGCTTAGGAGCCGTAGACCGCTAACACATAGCTATCAAACAGCCCCCAGGAAGTGGTTCATACTATTATAACTATAAAGGATTTTTCAGTGTTGTGTTGTTTGCTATCGTAAATGCTAATTATGAATTTACTTATGTAAGTTGTGGAACTAATGGAAGAATATCAGACGGGGGGGTCATTAAGAAAACAGATTTTTACAATTCACTGATAACAGATTCTTCAAAATTACCCCAACCAGTCAATATGCGAGGAATTCAAAATAAATTACCCTTTGTGTTTATTGGGGACGAAGCCTTTAGTCTAATGACAAATTTCATGACGCCATACAGACAAACCAACAGTATTGGTTATGAAGAAAAATGTTTCAACTATCGACTTTGCTGTGCCAGGCGCGTAGTAGAAAACGCATTCGGGATCATGGCAAATAGATTCAGGATTTTCCTAACGCCAATAGCTACTAAAGTGGATACAGTTGATGATATCGTTATGGCATGCTGTGTTTTACACAACTTTTTACGCCGCAAAAGCACTTCTTACATACAACCTAGTAACATCGATACTGAAGACATTATCTCAGGGACTGTATTGATAGGTGATATGCACATGAATGGAGAACTAATATCATTAGATGTGTCCAGGCAAGGATCTCCGACTATTGACGCAAAGATGATACGAAATGGATATAAATAATATTATAATAATGCAGGTGAAGTTGACTTTCAACACAAATTTGTATATTAAGTTTAAGATGTATAGTATATGTATTGAAATAAAATATCTGAATTATTATAAATATTGTCTTTTTAGATTATTTGTTAGTTAAAATATCTACTTACTGAGGCCTGTGATTGGTCATCTAGGTTATTTCCTTCTATCGAAGAAACCGCTGCACGAGACTCTTCTTGATCCATCAGGAAAGACAATAGATCAAAATACCACAATGTAGGTTCTGGTACATCTTCTGTTCCCACCCCACTTCTCTTTGAACTATTAATTCGCCTTATCTGGCATCGGAAAGATGACCGTAAGGACGATATTTTTTTGATAACAAATTTCTTGTTGGCATCTGGAAACATTTCTTTGCTTTTGTTAATTAAATTCTCATACGCAGCATTTTTTTTCTGTTTGTTGCGGTAATCCTTACACTTGATGTCCCAAAGACAATGATTTTCCTGGTAAAGTTGGATAAATTCCTCCCAAAAAGATTTATTATCTTCAAAAGACATTTTAATTTGAATTCCCTTCAAAAAATGCCTTGATACTTTCGTTGATCTCGGAAGAACTCTTTCGTCGCCGGACAAGTCTTGACAAGTTACACACACATTGTAAAAACAGCACGGATTGGTCGCGGTCGGGTCGTAGGTTCGGTATTCAAACAAGCGAACTCACAACCCGACCCGGACCCCTGTGCGACATGTCTTTCGATACCATATATTGGCGGATCGGTCGGCGGACAAGTCAGGACGAACCAATCCGTCACACCAATCCACTAATGAATGGGGAGCTTAAGAATGATACGAGGGATGTCTTTGAAGTTTTGCATAATAGAAACATAGTAGGCCGCGCGGATCGAACGTCGGTACTGAATCTTAACCTCACTCTTTAGTGAACTTAAATTCAAAGTTTCACAACAATACGTGCAGTGTTCTCACTACAGTGAATTTTTAAGTGTCACCAAGTCATTAGAAAAATGGAACTCAACCGAGAACATTGAGAGAAATGTGTACAGCATTGTTATTGGTGATAAATTGTGGATTTACTGTTACGAACCAGAAAATAAACGACAGTCGGCTATTTGGGTGAAGAAAAGCCAACAAAAGTCATCCGTTCTCGAAGTGTTTCGAAAAAGATGGTCGCGACACTTGTGTCAAAAGCGGGTCATATTGCAACAATTCCTCTTAATGAGCAAATATCTGCGGATTAGTATACCACCATTTGCCAAAAGTCATCACCGAGCTTCGATAAATCAACCCCGAAAGAAGAATCATCCTCCACCAAGACAATGCAAGTTCGCACACATCTCAAAAAACAAGGCAGTATTTAACGAAAGAAAAAGTGGAATTATTGAACCATCCTCCATATAGTTCCGATCTAAGTCTTAACGATTTCTTTACTTTCCCGGAAATTAAAAACAGACTGCGTGGTCAAAGGTTCCAGTCACCAGAAGAAGCAGTTGACGCATTCAAAAATGCCGTTTTGGATCTGCCAGCAAACGAGTGGAATAAGTGCTTCGAAAATTGGTTCGAGCGCATGCAGATGTGTATTAATCTTCGTGGAGAATACTTCGAAAAACAATAAAGTCATTTAAAACTACCTACTGTGTTGTTTTATTTCCATATGCAAATCTTAAAAGACATCCCTCGTATTCATTTAATATGATTCCCTTACGAAACGTTGTTTCCCTACTATTTAAGTGTTCAATGACGTGCTTAGAGCTAATATAACTGGCTTATAATAGTTCCTCATTATGAGTGTTTCGCCGTCGTCGGCGTCGCCTGGGTGGCGTGGTATGGAATTAGTAGCGTAGGTAGATGGTAAGACTGAGTTATTCAGTATGGGAAGGTGGTAATCACCACTTTTCAAACCTGATGCGAAGAGAAGTTCTGCATTCGGTACAAAGCCCGTTTTTCTCCACCATGGACAACTTTACCATTTTTTTGTTATTAGCTTGAATTGAAGTTTAGGAAAAATGAGACAAGATGGTGAAAAAATTATTAATTTATCTCTAAAAACAAAAAAAAGTTACAGCCCATCAAAGCTGCGCCCCCCGAGAATATTTTTATTCCGTCTGTACGTTACGTGTGACGTCACACTTCAGACTTCAGTATCCAGTTGCAAGTTGCAACGCCCGCGGCCGATTCCTGGGCCCGAGCCGACTCAATCTATTAAACACATACAGCGGGACACATGGTAGGCTAAACGTCTTCCGCCCCAATTTGTTTAATTAGTTGACTGCATATACGATCGGTTATGAGCAAAATAAGAAAAAAAGGTTGTTATTAATACTGTACCGTTCCAAAATGTAAGAGCACAACAATTACGACCCCTAATAAACATTTTTTCTACGCACCTTCATAAGCGGCGTCCATAATGGTATAGTGGATACCAAATAAAACCCGATGCACGTCATCGATCTGGAGCTGTGCGCTGTTGCCAGAATTTGCACATTTCCTTTTAAGCAAATAAATTTAATAAAATAAATTGTTTATATATACCTACCATTTACTATAATACCATTATATTAAAAATAAATAAACTTGTTGTAAAATTAAATTCCTTTCTGAATAAAAACACCTGATTTGGTAGATATTCAAAAACACAAAATATTTAAAGAACATAAATTGTTTTCTCGTATTTTAATTAATTTGATTATTTATTTATGATATGGGAACTACAACACTTTTTCAATTCACATCAAAAAGAAGAAAGAACTCGGGTGATGCAATGTTACACAATACCGGCAACTAGCGGCAAGGAGTACTCCTTATCGAGCCTGATATTAACCGCATGGTATGGTTCAGTTGTATATCAATTCCGGAGTTTGATTACATTATACAGAATATATTTTGATGTTTTAACTATTCTGAATCACTGGAATCAGAGTCATCGTTAACATGGATAATAAGGGGAAGAATTTCCTGTCTATCCATTACTTGTTCCCTTCTATACCATTTCATAACTATCTCCTCTGTATGTCTAATGGAGTTCTTCCACATATCAGGGGTAATAGTTTGGAGTGCCTCTTGCCACATTTTTAGGCAGTCATTTTCAGTGTGGCCATCTCTTCCAATATGCCGATTATAGTAATCTTTAATTAGCTCAATTGGGTTAAAAATACAGTGGTATGGAGGTAACCGTAAAACTTTATGTCCATATTGTTCTGCCAAGTTATCGACCACATACATTTTGGTTGGTTTATTCCCAAAAAAAAAAATAAATAGGAACAAAATGCATAAAGATTGGGTATTCTGCTCACTGTGCAACAATCGTTAAAAGTTCAGATTTGAATGCTTCATGTGGATACTGTATTTTTTGTTCAGTTAACCAATTTCAGCCTTTCTCCATGAGCTATTGGGAGTTTTTACTAATAACATGCTATGGTATGATGCATTATCCATAACAATCACAGAGGGTTGGGTCAAGCTTATTAGTAATTGATTTTCAAACCAATATAAAAAATTTTGCTGGTTCATTTCACCATGGTAATCATTAAGCTGGGTTTTCGATGAAAATATGAGCGACGCACCTTCAACAAATCCATTTTCATTGCCAGCGTGAACTATGATATACCCACAAATGCATTTCATTTTTATATAGAGCTTATTTTTCTATACATTTGAAAGCCCACCTTTTTCCATCAGCTTTGGTACTTCTAACACTTCGCTTGGATACTTTACACCACTTCACAGTAACTGTTGTTCTGAAAAGAACAATTTTTAATTGGCAAGGCAACGATTCAAAGCTCAATTAGCGCAAAACTCACAAACTAAACAATAAAGAACTAATAGTACGACAAAAGGACAATGGCAACTGATGTCAACAAATGAGAAGTGGCAACCTCACATTTCTCTGCACGGCACTACCAACCGAATCGAGACGGGGAAATTTAAACTTCAAGTAGAAATGTCACATTGAATGTAGTCAACTGTTGGTAACCATGATTTTTATGAATGACATCACCTATGACGTGCATCGGATTTTATTTGGTATCCACTATATGAAGTTACGCAGTACTCGATAGTTATCAACTGGAAACCACGTGTCAGAGCGCACAGGTGTGCCTTATGAATTGTCTATAGACTAATGACTAAACTCACAGACGCTGTCGAACACATACGCGACGAGACGCTGGGCACTAGAAAAGTGTGACGCCTATAATGCGCCAAATTTAAGTACCAATTTATCTGTCATTTATTGGCCGATTTCAATAATTTTTTCACTGGCTGATTATATTTAGTCTATATTTTGCTGGTATGTCATTACTTATGCGATTGTGAATACCACGAAACTTCTCCATGCAACACAATTAATCGTTTTCCCTTGACCAGTGGTGCTTCCAGACAGGTATTTGGCCCATCGTCCCATGACTTTGGCACTGTATGCGAGCTGTGAATGTAAGTCTTATTGCTGTAAACAATGTTCCTACTTGCGAAAAGGTCTCCTCTAGAGCAAATTATTTTGAAAACAAAAATCTTCTTTGATAAGTATGCAGTCTTTCATTGAAATCATTTTCAATACATTTTTGTTATATACAGTATACACTAATATTTGCTGTCATTTATGTACCTTAACGCTTAAATTTTATATTTCTTCGGTCACATGTCCAATAAAAATTTTTCAAATACATATAAATATATATCTCTCTATTAGGTGTATGACAATTTTTTGATAGATATCAATATTGCTGAATGGACTGAAAACATATCATAACATTTCCTTGTATTTCTTCAATTTCCTTAAAAACTCAATTCGTTTTAAACGAATGTCTTGTTTTCCAATGAATAGTTTCCATTTATCTACCACTTTTTTCCAGCAAAAACCTAATTTATGAAATTTTTTTCCGCAGGATTCGATTTTCCCCGCAAGGTTCACTCCATCATTTTTTGCAGCTTCATAAACGGCTTTAATGGTAGGCCGCCGCTTATGAATATGGTCAAATTGATAAATTATTTCCCTTATCTCTGCCTTAAACCTGCCTACTGCTGATTTCCGACTTGGTTTAGAAACAGTTTTTCTTGGGCAGACATTGCCTGTGGGTTTGATCGAAGCTTCTCTCACAATGCGTTTGATATTGAGTTATACACCTGGGGCCTCTACTACTCGATTCATCAGCTGATTTAGAGACAAAATGACTTCCCCTTCTGCGCATCCACATAATGTAACGGTCACGGCCCTCGACGTTTTAAAACACCTCTACTTTTGAAATAAAACGAAACACGACTTCTCTTGCGTTTTCATTCGAAACTTGAATAGCAAATAGAACTATTATCTGCTTTTCAAAGTCATGTTATTAACGATATTCAGATTAATAATAATAATATCAGATATGAGGTGTTTACATTGAATGATCTTCTGACCTTATTTTGTTCACTTTAATACTTTTTATATGCTCAAAATATCTATAAATCGTACAGATAACTTACATTGCTTTTGAGTTTCTCCATAAGTTCGCCTAGCTGTGTTTTGAATTTGCTGCCAACACTGACGAAATTAAGTTTACCTTTTTGTGCCATGGAAGTGGAGAACAATGTCTCGATAAGTTTGTTTCTGCTTTCTTTTATTATACTTTCAAGAGATGCATGGAGAGCATCATTATTCTTTTCAATGAAATATTTCTGGAAAATAAAGGTTGGAATGAGAAAAAAACACGATAATATTTGTCAAAATGTCCATATACGACGTAAAGAGCCAAACTAAGAGTAAATTTTTAATTACTATTTAGATTGTTTCAGTATAAGTGACGAATTTTTTGGATGCATATTACAAAGCAAAGAAAATATGGGATAGAAATTTCCATGAAAAGTAATTTCAACTTACAGTTTGATAACACACAGCTCCAGCAAAATGTCTGACCAGAAATCCTTCATCATCCCTTATGCTTCTATGTGCTTTAAGTTTTGATGATCTGGGCAATCCTATCCTATACTCATTTGGCCAAGCCTTGTGTACTTCACCGGTAAAGTGAGTGTACGACGGTTTTGGCAGTTTGGACTCCTCATCCAGTAGAGTGAATATACCATTTGTTTTGGCTTCGATGAGGTCTGAAATAAAAGGATAAGGGGAACTGAGATAAAGGAATTTAAAATACACGCCTGCCATGACATCATCTCATATGCAGAAGGTTGCATTCAAATCAACAGATGTACCATGTGCAAAGCCAGTAGCGATACTATAGTGAAGACATATAGTCCAATCATCTGGTAGTTTCATTTGGAGAGCTTTGAAAAAGTTTGTGCATATAGAGATTTCAATAGGCTCTTTCCGAATTTTCACTTTGTAAAAAACTGAGTTTGGATGCAATTTTTTCAATAGGCCAATTTGCAAAACTTCTCCGAGCTCACAAATATCACACAACAGTTCAGAAGAAGGCGATGAACAACTGGATCGCGAAGGCATGTCTTAATCTTAAAAGGGAATATAGAGAATATTACTGTTACAGATTAAGTCCAGAAGCCTATAAGGCGCTTAAGCTTTTAGGTCACGGATAAACAGCACAAATAAACCTGGAGTAAATTATTCTTTTCATTTACCATTCTAGACGATTCACATTTTTGTAAAGTTACATATCTTCTTTCTAATCCAACAATTGTGACAAGTGGCGTTGCCCGTATCGTATGATTTACTTAATGGAACTCCTAAAACTTATCCTGTGGTTGTTTTGTTGACCATTCTTTCTGCATATTTTACTGACCGACCACAGATGTAGAATTTAAATATTTACTGACGTTTCGGACACTGAATAGACTACCAACATTTAACTTTGTGTAAGAAGGTACATTGACAAACAACACAGAAAGTTTCGGTAAACAAGTTCTAAATCGAGACAAATATCGCCTCAAATTTTTGTGGGTGTAATACGAACAACAACCAATCAATGCCAATACACAGAATATTGTCATGGCCCTTTTCGGGGAAAATTAGTTTGAATACTTGGGACAAAATCCTAAAATATAATTAAAAAACATGTTTATTCTTCAAAGGGGGTTTTTAAAATAGAATCACCAACTATAAAACATTCACTTGACTTTCAGCATAGATGTTTCGTGGTAGCAAAAAAATCGTTCAATGTTGTTTAATTCAATATTCTTCAACTCCAAAAAGATCCATGTTCTGTTGCTTGAAAAATACATTAAGTGCACAGTGTAGAAAAAATCAATTTACATACCAATACATCCCTGGTTGTCAACATAAGTTATTTCAGGTACACCTAATCCTTCCTTTTTGTACAACTCTTGTTCGTACTTCAATATCCTTTCATTGAAGAACTGCTGCAGCTTTTCATTGCAGTAATTTATACAAAACTGCTCGAAACTATTGACAGTGAAGAATTCTGTGAAAAATAGGAATATGATTTTCGAGATGATACCAGAAACTGCTGGAAAAGACATGTGATCAAATCTAGGAGTGGCTGATCTGACTCAGAATTGACTCAAGTTCAAAATACTCCTAAGTATTGGACTATAATCGACTAAGGCGCTAAATGTCCTAGACCGTCAGACATTAGTTATTTTCTAAATGACAAAACAAGGGGCATCCATTTCTAACTTGTTTGCATGACGATTAAAAAAAAATTCACATAAAAAATAGGGTCTAATTTAGTTTTTAATGCTAGTTGTTGTTGTCTTGTATGAAACGTCATAGAATGAATGAAAGAACGATTTGTGTTTGGGGGAAGAAGATAGGAGATAAGGTTCTTTCTGATGGTTTTTATGCAAAATATGAGAGCAATTTTCATTCTTTTAGGTATTATCTGCCCATATAAAAAATGTAAAAGAGGAAACAGTGAGGGGTGTAGCAGAAATCGGTAGGCGTTTAGGTATCGCCTGAATTTTTGAGATTTTCAACTTTAGAATACTGCAATAGCTTATAGGTATTGATTGAAATAAATATATGCAATAACATACAGACAAATGATATATGATACGGTACAATGGGCAAATACCTTTTAGGATACGTCAGCAGTAACAATGAAACAAAATTATTGAATATCACCGAAGGAAACATACTCATGTGAGAAGACTAAGGGTGTTTATTATCTAACGAACCTGTACTCACCAAAACCGGCAATATCCAATACTCCAATATAATAGCTTGACGCTTGAAATGGTATGCTTCTGTTGATTTTATTGACGATATAGTCGAACAGATTGCTGTATATAGCTTTGGCAAGAGCATCTCTAGCATTGTTTGCTTCATAGACTTTCAAAGGTACCATTATAACAGTACCTTTCATGCCACCTCTGCTACTTTGCATTACTCTTGAAACTAGAGCTTGCTTCAGTTCGCTTGGGTCAATCTCTAGGAGCTTGGAGGCGGTTAGAAGAGATCTATAACCAGTGGAAAAACGATATGTTTTGGAGTCTGTGTTTTATTAGATCAGTAATGATAAAGTTAATAAAACATACCACTTTGTACTACAGAATATAAATGATGACAGTATGCGTGTTCAAAGAAAAAGATACGATGACTTGAGGGATATGCCTTTGTAGTTTGGAATGTGATTTATCTTGTGGTTGCAACATACACATATAGTATCAGAAGTTCACTTAATCAAAGGCACAAGACGTGGCGCATGTTTTATATCCTGTATCTGTCTGCATATACAATTTACCTATCCTTGCTGGGTATCATTCTACAACCTCCTCTACTATCATCAGGATTATCCTCAAAAGCTACATTTCCTAAATGTAATACAGCTGCAACAGTTGCATATATTTGCAGTCTTTCGGAGTCAGTTAAACCAAGCCGGGTGAGAGCCTGGTCCAATTCACTGAAGTCTTCGACGTCATCCAAAAGAATGTCCTTTAAAGGTCCTTGTTTGTTGTGATCTTCACTTTTTTGCGATAGGCTTAGCTTCTTTTCGCTGGAAGGCTTCGTGAAATAGCGACTGCAGCCCGATTTCAAGTACTGCAGAAAACATATTTTTTCATTCTCTAGTATAATAGTATAATAAATAATTTTACCGGTAAATTATGTGGTGAGTACTAACTACAATTTTCTGCAACTCAAGGATTCCGACTTGGAAAAAAACGTTTAACTCAAGGTGTGACTCTCTGTTTCTGGCAACTAGTACTAGTCTAATCATATTAGTAAATTTCCCCGAACTAATTGTAATGTCGGGTTTTATTGATGCAAGTTGCTCAAGGGGGTATTTAAAGCATGAACGCATAAAATGGGTACACCAGTTTTAAAAGTAAAAAGTTCCGACTAATAGTAAACAAGTTATGGCCGGAAACCGAGGCAAAATGCAGGTTATGGCATAGCTACTTGAAGTTCTTTAAGTCCGTAGGCTTCATACGTCTAAATAACCACAACAAAATTGGAGTAGTTTTTGAGAATTTCTAATTTTTTATCCCAAAACACCTGTCTTCCGGCCATCACTGCTAGTTTAAAGAGCAATATACCGGGTTCGTTCAAAGGATACTTCATAGCAACATACACGAATGGTATATAGTGGTAAATTTTTACGTGTGATCTCATTATGTAGGTCTCATAAATACCTAAGAATCTTAATTGAGAAGTTTTTCCGATCCTGCCAACACTTTCGACTGAATCCCAAAAAACGGGTTTTATCATTCTTTGTTGTCGAATAAAAAGTTTTCCCACAAAAATTGGTGTACCCATTTTATGCATCCATGTTTTAAATACCCTCTTGAAAAACTTGTATCATTAAAACAAGACTTTATAATTAGTTCGCAACCCAGGGGTATTTTCGTCTATTATCATTAGACTATACCACTCATTTCGTTTACATATTCACCTGATTCATGCAGGTAAATTTAATTTCAAATACTTCACGGTAAACCACAAAGAAGCGAATGTGTAAACATAGTAGCAATTGTGGTAAGTTGAGGACAGCGCGAGCTATGCGAACAACGTAAGAATTACCATAGATAAGAGTTAACTTCCAAAAACGTTTTAATATTTTTTATTTAGGTAGAATTGTTTTTATGCAACATTGTACACGAGAATCTGTTGTTCCCAAAATCTTACAGTACCTAAGACAGTCCTTGGACGTGAATATTGAATTTGAGTTCATTTCACTATGACACAATTTGATGGGCACATAACTCATAGTCATGTAGTGAACGTAAGCACTGACATTTATTACAATTATTATCAAGTGCGGACCAGCATTATTCAAAAGAAAAGTCTGAATCATCAAGCGTACTTCTTGAATAACAAATCTATCATTCATACTTACATTGAAATCATCAGGTTTGGTCAATCCTAAACTTTGCCTCAGCTTCTCGGGCGCACCAGCCATCAGCATATAGAAAATATGGTAGTTCCTTTCATCTCCATCTGGAGAACATACTCTGGATTTTTCCAGAAGGTAGTGCGATATGTGACCTCCGCATACCTGAAAGCATTATTAAAGACAAGTATCAAGGACCAAGATAAAAGAATCCCGAGGTGTTGGACATTAGTATCACTTAATGTTAAAAACAAATAAAACACATGAAATACCGTGTTTGAAAAAAGTAAACCCTGGATCGGGTATTTTTTACTTTTCGTCGGTTTTTTTCAACATTTCGTAAGTTTTTTGTGACATAACGTACGTTTTTCTACAAGATGTTAACTTAGCACAAGCTGTTGAATACTTTTTGTGAACTCGTTTTGTAGCTGTACGCGTTGCTTAAACGTCAGCGAACAGCGACTATAGCGAGCAAATGTGGAATGAACTATTTGTACAATAAAAAAAATCGCGAGCCAAAGAAAAGAGAAAAAAATATTTTATCAAATTGGCATGAAACCACTTTCCCGCCTTTGCGGTTTTCGTTGGAAAATCAAGGTGTTTGAACGTAAACACTTCATTGGTTGAAAACGCGGAAACTTGTGTTTGGTCTATTTTATGTGTTGCAATCTTGTTCGAGATTGAATGCTTCAAGTTATTGGGGGATATCATACAGTACCTTAAAGTCCTTATCGAAGTGAACTTCGATGAATTTCCCAAATCTGGAACTGTTGTTGTTTCTGGTGGTTTTGGCGTTACCAAATGCTTCTAACACTGGATTAGCGTCCAAAATTTTTTGTTCCAAAATACCAGATTCTTCTCCCCAGTTGTGGCACAGGAATTTCAACAGATGTTTCGTCGATTCTGTTTTACCAGCACCTGATTCTCCGCTTACTATGATTGACTGGGATTGCTTCAACACCTGCGTAAATGATTAAATATATTTTCATATTGTTGAGATTTGAAATTGTAGATGTGTATATTTGTAGAATTATCCTATAGAAACGATATAAACAAACGTCTTCCATGGTCAAGTTTTTGGTGCTGATTGAGTAAAGTTGTAAACAAATGCATGCTAAAGATAATATACTCGTATATATAATATAATAAATAATTTTAAGGTTCAACCAGATTCTCAGGGGAGACCCGCCCCTCTCTCCTGGTACCGCTCCCCCCGCGGGAGCCCATGAATCCTCAATACTCTGCAAAATCATTGAAATATGTAAGTTAAAAAAATATGATTTATGGAAAATATGATATGTGTGTTTTTATTTTAAAAGTTATTCAAAACAGGACGAAATTTAATTCACCGATGAACATGAGTCACGTAAATGTTGGTTATGACAAGATATTTGAGGTTGTCGTCAACTGATCTGTCTAATGCCTTCTTTACTAGCCATTCTCATTTTGAAAAACCTCTCATCTTCCAACCACTAATACAGCTCTATGGGACATGTCACTAAGTCTTTGGTCATGCCAATATCTTTATCATAACATCTGGCAAAGGGAATGCGTTTATGTTTTGCACAACTCATCAGCCAGATTTTTTAAAAATATTTCTTTTTCGTACACACATCGTTATTTTATGTGAGCTATTGCAAATAAACATCCATTGTAGATATCAGGAAATCCTCAGGCATAACGTTTTCAGGTCATTATATTGTGAAGACGAGATGCAGGATTTTAATTGCTACATTGCTGCTGACGTAAACAGAATGTAAAACTTCGCCACACTTGTGTCAGTATGATACAAATGTGTGAAGTGTCGTTTTGTGTATTTAAAACATATTCTAATAGTGCTTTTCTAGACACTATCTCGATGCTTTCAAAAGAACCTGTTGCTAGGTCTCAAAATATTTTATCTCAGTATGGAAATTATGTGGAAGATTTTAGGTATTGCAATATTATGTTTATCACAGGTGTCCTATAACAACTGTTCGATTGTCAATAATGACTTGGTACTGATAGATAACAGGAATCTTCATATAGTATTTCCTTTTTCAGCGGAAAATCGTTTAGTTCAAATAAATTGTTTTGTTAAAATTGGATATTCTAAATGGAACCCTAGGAAAGGTAAGCAAAAACAAAATAATCACATATTTCCGATATAATATTATATTTTATGTTACTATGTTGTATCAGTTCGTATGTTGCTCATGTTATTCTGATTACTTACTTGCATATCTCGATACGCTTTGTCGGCTATAGCGAACACATGTGGAGGAAGCTGCCCTAATGACTTGCCCTTGTAGTTCCTGATCATTTCTGGCGAATAAAGGGCAGGAATTTCACTATACGGGTTCACAGCTATCAGTATATTGGCTACGTATGTCTAATTTGGAAAGTAGAAATAGGAGATTATAATTCAATATGTGTATAGGCGTGACTACTCAAATCGTAGAGAGTGACCAACGATTTTAGTCAAAGATCACACATCTCTTGAGCATCTCACCTTGGATTTCTTTTGACCAGACATTGGAGAAACCGACAAAATATAAGTTGTTATAGAAATTTTATTATTTCGATTTACATAATAGGAATAGATTTTGGCTGAGTATGTCGGTTACTCCTATGATTAGCCAGAAGAGACGCAGTCAAAGACCGAAACACAGTAATTTTGACCAACATTTGACCTGTTTAAAGAATTTTAACTTACATATATTTTATTTTTGTAGTATCTGGTACGTATATTATTTAGGAGTGAAGCTTCATTTAGGAACATCATTTCACCTGGAATTAGATAAAACACTTAGACAACGCAATCATACGTTATAAAACAATAGCATGTCATGAAGGCTGTTACTTTGAACAGTCGACTTCATATTGACGTATTTTGATGAAATTACGAGCTCGGATACTTTTTTAAATCAAAAGCCATTTGTCGCCACATCCCACACTAAATCCAGTCCATACTACGTGTCCGCACAACCAAAAGTCAGAATGCTTCGAATCCAAAGATAAAAACTCATTACATCGATGATGAAATCTCAAGGCTATTCATTTCCAGTTCAAAGTATGCAGTGAACTATGAAATTGCGATTAACAAGAAGTTCATGCAAATCTGCATAGTAAACTCTAAAAACAGGTAGATATTATGAGTTAGACAACCTCCATATATTTTTATCGTTCAAAGTTTGAATACAGTTCGCTAAGCTTCACTGTAATTTTGACCGACGAATTCGAATAGATTAGAAGGAACCAAGCTTATATTTTTACATTGGCAAATTTGCCTACAATTGCCTGCCAAAGTGACAAACCAATGCATTGACGTGTATTATTTTCTCTAGAAAGGATATTCAAGCAGCTATTCATATAGGGTGAACTCAAGGCAGAAACACTCGCTCAGTTATTATTAATAAACAGTGATAAATCAAATAAGGCAAAGAAAAGAATGTAAATATTTATGAACGGTACAGAATATGAAAAATTCTGCTTAATTCGTGATTTTGGAAGGCGAACAATAAGAAAAATTCTCCATCATACAGTAATAATGGCGGAACACCTGATATTGGAAATAGTGCGACACCTTGCACGAAGTCTATTCGGTTTTTCTAAATTCTCTCCATCATACAGCAATAATGGCGGAACACCTGATATTGGAAATAGTGCGACACCTTTCACGAAGTCTACTCGGTTTTTCTAAGTAGTTGTCGTGATTCCAGCAAATTCCTAGATAAAAGCAAATGCCTAAGTTGAGCATAACATGTAAATTTCTGCTATTAAAGTCTTTTTGTTTTTTTTGGGCGCACTAAGCTTCCTCTATAGAATCCCGTGCCACTAAAATGAGATCGTAAAATTACTACTTATCACACGAAAATATCTTTTCTAAAAACATTAAGTTAAATTTTAGTTCTGTTTGGTTAGATTAAAACTTCGGTTGGCCCTTTTCAGTATAAATCAAGAAATTTTGATGTCACCAATGTTTTGCATTTTTCAAAGTTGTTTTAGACCTTAGATTGGGACTGAGAGCTCAATGAAATAAAAAGTGGAATGAAATAAATCAAAATTACCTCACAACGGTCCAGGTAAAAGCCCAATGTTGAGGTATACGCCCTTTCGCAACGACGATGACCATAATATATAACACTTACTGTTAAAAAAATATGCTCTTATTTAAGTATAGTAATTTAACCTTTTATACAACCCACAGAAACCTTCACTATTTTCGGTAACCGTCTGGAGCGTTAGGATCGCATGGAACCCACGCACTTTTATGTTTTCGCAGGAAAGAACGTATTTAACAATTGTCAATCTGGCGGCTTAAGCCTGATCGACTTGTATGCACTTGAATCCTGACTACTGATTACGTAATTTTGGCCACAAATGAATAGGCTTGCTCCCTCTATCTAGTCTGAATTCGTTGATCCTGTGATTGACATAAAACTACGAAAAACACCAAATATTTTATAGTCAACTCAAAACGATATTACGGACGATATTTCGAAACTTACAGTTATCGTCGTAGTCTCTATCTTTCTCAACGTTCGCTCTAAATATATCACTGAATGGTAGTGTCCGCTTCTGGAACTTTTTATCCAAAGGAAGGACTTCAGCTCCATCGTCCAGGATTTCAGAAATCCTACTCAGGACGAAGCCTTCGGTTGAGTCACGAGCCCAGACTATCTCGTCCATATCTGAAAAAAAAAGTAAAATATTAGCGTTTCATCACTGGATGAATAAAGTCAAAATAAAATAGACAGTACAACAACACTGTTACGTTAAAAAAAGTAGGTACGTTTCATTATTCATCGAAGGTAAAAATGATACAGTTTATCACAGCAAAATTTATACCATCTCAAAAGCTCGGTCTAGCCGTGAAGTGGCAAAAGTACATGTAATAAGTATTTCATGTGTAAGTATTTTATGTTTGATCATGGCACTCTGAACTTCACTTTTGAATACTTGGAACAAGCAGAAAATTGGGAGAAATCATCCTAACATATTTGTCTTTTGTTACAGACTGAATCTAGGCATCTTTGCTAACATTTATAAAGTTTTACTCATTGGGCACTTTTCAAGTAATCAATCCATATTTGAATGAAAAGTTCTAAGAATCGTATAGACTCTATCAACAAAACTGATAAGTGTGATAGGGATAATCTTTGTTCTACCAATTACTGCCCCAATATGACTGATATGACAAATAAAAATACGAGTATATAAATATTTTATGCAGCTAAAATCATGTTGCATAAGAAAGCAGATAATAATAATTTGAAAAAGCCTTTATGAAAACATCTACTCTACTTCCCACGAAATTCTGACACCAATTATTAGATTATGTTCGGCTTATTTTCGGACCTGACTATATACTGTATGTGAGATATAAAATTGGCCTACTTGACACGAAGTGTATTCAAAATCTACCAAAAAACAAAAGAAATGTGTCAAATATTACGCCGCGTCGTGTACTGGAATATCCGCCAACCTGTGGCAAAATATGGCTTGCGCGAAGATATGCTTGTATCGTTGCCGCCCAGGTCAGTCAATTTACTGGTGCCATTAGGTGGTGGGGTGGTCGCAGCACAAGGAGAAATGAGCGAAACTCGAGACGTGTAGCCATGAATCTATGTATTCATTTAGCGTGATAGGAACTTATCAGCGTTTTTATTTGTCCGATAGTTGTAAAATATTATCGAGATCAGAAGCTTTCAATTTTCAACCCATACAAAAAAAATAATTCTGAAAATGATAAGGAGCCTCTGGAACGTCAAAAACCAAAGTTTGAGAGTTTTTTTTTTCGTTTTTCTTTTCCAGTAGCTCCGTCGCCATTGGATAGATATTCAAAACTACAAAGACTTTTCGTCATTCATATAGTAGTAACCTTGTGTAAAAATTTCGTCTGTCAGATTTATAGGGGGGTCAAGGATAAACGGGCAGACAGACAGACTGACGGAAGGTAGTAACAGCAATTAGCATATCTCAATTTCGAAATTTTTCGCGATTACAAAACTTTTTAGCCAATTGGCGTGGGAAGTAAAACACGCGCTATTTAGCTTCGAAGATGGAACTAGAGCAAGTGTTTTGAGTGTGTGGTATGGTCGTTTATTCGCTGAAATTGGAGAGATTACGATAATATGGCGATTACGAGGAGACATGGAAAACAGCACAAAAGAAGGTAGGTGGTACAGGTATTTATTTCGGTGGCCTATTTATATTATTGTTAGATCTCATATACCTTAGTCATGACATATAGGGAAAAATCTTCTCCATGAATTGCTCTTAATCTTTTCACCAAATTGTAACAATATTATGTACAGCCGTTACCTCTGATACAAACAGTGTGCCATATTATCTACTGATGCAATCGTCACGTTTCGCTCCCATAGTCAAAGCGTAAATCCTGCCGTTGTCCAACATTGTGGTGTTGCAGAGTTACTGCCCATGTCTACCGTGGTAGCCAGTTTCCGGTGTTTGGAACACCCCAACCGGAAATTGGAAATAAACAAATGAAAGGCCCTTGTTCATTACGATGCGTCACATCAGTCTGCCGCGCTCTGTATGCTTATTAGATGGAATATAATGAAAAATGGGCATTGTCATAGAGAGGCACTGACGGCGTGAAGCGGGGGGAGCACCGGGTACCAGCACTGACTTCGCGTTTGGGTACAATTACAATAGATCCGCGATATTCCAATGATCACCACCAACGTTATGATAGGTACAGGCGCATACATTTTAATTTCGACCTGCAGATGCATAGGCTTATTGAAAAAAGAGTCAAACAGATTGACTCAGTATACAGGGTGTTCAAGATAAGGATCCTATGCATGGGGATTCCAATACATGCAGAAGATACAGCTTAGGTTAAATCCTGAGTCCACACTCGTTCACACTGCAGTATACTGCGTAAGGATCTGTTGGTCCTCCTAGAAACTTCTCTTTTTGACCGGCTTCACGTAACCCGACAATTTGACCTCTCTCAAAGTCACTTAGCTGGGACACCCGGCAAATTCTACGCACTCTAGGCATTTCGAGCAATCACAAAAAGGCTTCTCAATAAGCTACATGAAATTGAACATTTAACTGACACCGTAAATTTACGAAAACTGAATGCTACTTTATTAGGTTTTTGTTTCCGTCAAAAATAAAAAATAATATGGTCTGACGAGAGCAAGGTCAGTAATACTGGTTTCTTTAATCGTTGCAACAAGCTGTACTGGGTCAAAGAAAATCTGCGGACTAAAATCAAAAACGTTTTGGGTTTAATATGTGGTGTGGAGTTATAGGGACCATATTTCTCCCAAAAGAAATAGGTAGTCCATAAATTTTTTGAAAGGCAGGAACTTCCCACCATAGACAAAGTAAACATTACAGTAGCTAAATAGTGATGTAGACTTACCTACTTTCAAAAGGACCACATTCTATAGTTTACTCAAAGAACTTTATTTTGAGTATAGAAAACGAGGCAGAAATAGTATTTTGATGGACAGCCAAGAGGTTTTTTTATGGAGAAGAAATTATTTAAAATCAATAAAGCAATACCGCGACCAGGGCAGGAAGATTTATTACTTGGATGAAACCTGGATAAATGCAGGACATGCAAAACCTAAAGTATGAGCTGACTCTACAATTAAATCAGCAAGACAAGCCTTTTTAGATGGACTAACCACTGGCCTAAAGAATCCGTCAGTACGTGTATCTAACTAGTGCGTAATTTGTGTTGTGAAAATGGTGTCAAGTAGACTGAACATAGCTATATCTGATAGATTTGGAACCAATACCTATTAGATACTCTGCTTGTATTATTATTAGTTTTATTGAATACTATATGAAATAATTATTTCCAGGAAAAGGAAAACGATTTGTTATCTATCACATTGGCAGTAAAAATGGCTTTGTGCCCACTGCCATATGGGCATTTGAGTCAAAGAAAACCGACTACCATGAAGAAGTATACGGAAGGTCATTTGAACGATGGTTTGAAGAAACGCTCCAAAAGCTTGACGACAATGCCGTCATTGTACTTGATAATGCTGCATACCACACTAGAAAACTAGAAAAAAAATCCACTATGTCCACAAGAAATGCAGAAATTCAACAATGACTCAAAAGACTAGTTTCAATGAAAATATGGTCAAAGCAGAACTTATCCATCTAGTCAGGCAATACAAATATAAATATAGTCTTAATGTTATTGACGAAATGGCTAAACACCAAATTAAGACCGTTTTAAGGCTAACCCCTTATCATTGCGAATTAAATCCCATTGAAATGATTGTGGCAAATATAAAAACTATGTGGCTTCAAACAATAGAACATTCAAATTTTCCGACGTGAAAAATTTATTTTATGAAGCTTTCCACAGAGTGACGGCAAACCATTGGAAAGATTCCATCCGTCACGTTTAAGAGACCATCGAAGCAAAGATGTGGGATCTGGACAATATGCTCGATATTCAAATTGAACCTATAATAATTAATATTAACCATTCGGACGATCATTCAAGTACTTCCAGCGAATAAAGAATTGTGTATGTGCACTTCTTTCTATAAAAATAATCATGTATTTTGTTAGATTATTCCAAGACCATTGGGGAAAATACGGACCTGCACAGTCTTGCTTTTGGGCATGTTGTGTTTTATCTGGGCGTAAATGGACTAGGAAGATAGGCAAGTTCGAGAGTATCTTTTTCAAGGATTTCTCAGAAGGTGGATTGGAACAACCAGTGAAGTGTCCTGGCCTGCGCGTTCCCTGGATTTAACTCCGCTGGACCTTTTTCTTTGGAGTTTTATTAAAAGTTTATCGGCGTACTTTTGAAACTGAGTAGCAGTTAAGAGAATGTGTAATGGAAGCATTTAGTATTATTACACCAGAAATGTTACGTGATTTGAATTTTACTGTTATAAGATCATTTTTATGAGCACCTATTGTGAATAAAGTGAAAATAACTTGATAACTTCATGTAAAATGTAATATGCAACTATCAGTAATCAGATAATCTTACATCGTTTGAAACACCTACTTAAAATGAAAAAAGTCTAAAACACATTTTTCTTTATAACTATGAAACAAAATGTAACGTGATGATACATCGTTGAATTCATAGTAAAAGACGATGGCAGATATGGGGTTAGTGTTTTCTTTTCAGACCATATAAAAAAAACAAAGATGATGATGCTTTCTCAAAAATGAAACGTCGGACACCAAATTTTAAAAACACCATCATGTAGTGCCAATGTTAATTTCCACTAGTTTTTTGATATTTCTTACAATAAAGTCAGAAAATAAAAACGATTTGAAAAATACCTCAGTAAGCCATGGAATTTTTACATGCGTCTCAACGGCATATAAATACACCCCAAAGAACGCAACTTTCAACAATTCAACCTAAGCTTTATCTCCCACAGGTACTGAGATCCCCATGCATCTTGGACACCCTGTATATATATATATAGATAATGGACAAAAGTATATAGACAATTTAATATTGTGCTGTATTACTTTTTTACTTGTTTTATTAATACACCAACCTGTAAACAATAATTCGTTATAGCATTATACATAAATAAATTAATTAGACTCCCTTCAATAAAAAAATAATTAAAAAAAACTGGAACTATGAAGGACAAAAATATATATACAAAGCAAAACAATTATAGAAAAACGAACCATGTTTGTGTTAATATTTTCTAGCGTAACCATTATTATCAATTACCGCCTGGCATCGTCTCGGCATAGATTGTAGAAGTTTCTTGATATAAGATTCATCAATCTGTCTCCACTTTTGCTCTAACGCGGCAAAAACTTCATCCTTGTTTGAATAACTTTTATCTCGTATTTGCTTATCTAAGTATTCCGATAGATTTTCAATGGGGTTTATATCGGGAGACTGTGAAAGCCATTTGAGAACTAGTATTTTTTCATCGAGAAAGAATTTCTTTTCGAGATTTGAAGGATCATTATCTTGCTGGAAGATTGATCTTAAGGGCGTATTGTCTTCCATATAGGGTAACATGACATGCTTTAGTATGTCTGTGTATACAAACTTATCCATAATGCCATCTATTCTATGTAAAGGTTCCATCACAAACCCCGAAAAGCACCCCCAAACCATAACAGACCCGCCTCCATGTTTGACAGTGGGCAAAGTGTACTTGGGGTTCAATCTTTGACCACTAGGACGTCTAACGTAATGAATACCATCTGATCCAAACATATTGAACTTGGATTCGTCACTGAAACATACCCTCTTCCAGTCACAGATGCTCCAATCAAGATGCAACCGTGCAAATTGTAATCGGTCGTTATGGTTTTTCCTCGAGATTAGCGGCTTCTTACTCGGGCGACGTGTAAATAACTTCAAATCATTTAATCTTCTACATATAGTTTTCGTAGAAATACTGACAATTCCTTTTGTCTCGATTTCGGCTTTTATTTGTCTTGGGGTTTTAAACGGATCTTTGGACAAAATTACTTTTATTAATCTAAATGATCTAGCATTTAGTTTTCTAGGCCGACCACTTCTCTTAGAGGCTTCCAAGATACCTTTTTGTTTATATTTGTTCAATATTGCCCAAACTGCTTTACGCTTCAGCTTCAAATTTTTGGCAATGTCGACTTGACTTTGACCATCTTTGTATAACTCAATGATCTTAGTTTTCACATCGAAAGAAATTTCTGGACCACGCGGCATGGTCTTAAAATCACTAAACTTATTCCACAATACTTGATGAACACAAATTAATCCTCTTCTGACACGAAACCGTACTGAACTAATGTTGAAAAGAATGTTCCTACATATTTTGTCCCTCATAAAAAAGTGCTTATATTCAGATTTGTATTGTGTTCATTGCAGATAATGTAAAAACAAGGAATTTAGTTTTTCTACTAATAACGCATTTGTTTATGGAGCAGTGAAGTATGAATTCGTTTTCTAAAGGTATTTAGGTAAATATTCATATTTATCTATATACTTTTGTCCATTACTGTATATATATATATATATATTTAAAATTTTAAAATTTACATGAAAATGAGTGATAAGTAAAATTTTAGAAATGTTTAATTCTCAAAATTTCTGAATCCCCTAAGCTTTTCTGATCAAGCCCTGAAGTGGATAAACGAAAACCGTGGCTTCCATGTTTTGCCAATGTTCGACCATGCCTAAAAAATAACCAGAAGCTTGAACACATGTCTTCCGTGTTTGGCACGGTAGTAACGCATATTAGTAACATTTGGGGTTATTAGCAAATTACTTTGATATCGTGGAAGTTTCAAAGTAATCTTTTTTCTAAATGCG